GAATGCTTGAAGTCTCAAAAGAAATTTTTTTCAGTATTGCAGTACATACATACTGGGTACTTGGTGTAAACAACACTCACCTGTAGAATGCGTCTCTATACTGGTGGTACTCAGTATGTTACATAAGCATATTCACACCATCGTTTTGGTATGTTCCAGAAAATGTTAGAAAGTTTATTTCTAGTGAGGTTAATATTTGTACATATTTCAGTGCTTCAGAACTAGTCGCCAAAATAGACAAAATTTGCACCTAGTGAAAATGGTAGTAAGAAATGATTGTTGTATTTAATGTTTCGGTGTCTTGTACACCGACAAAGGTGTTAAGTATATTACACACACACACTCAACTAACAGGTTGATTCAGCTATTTATAATCTATTATGAAAATTGTATAAAATGTTTAACTGGCCTGTAAACACAGAATCAGCAAGTAAAAATTTCAATAACAACAGGCACTAATTAATATGTCAGTAATACAAATCATCCTGTCATTACTAGCAGGAATTTATCACCATAGACGATGACAAGCATGGTTAGGCTTTACCGTAAAAATATCAAAACCTCTCTCTGAAAACACAATCCTCCTTCCTTCAAAGTACGCACAAAAGGAAAAAAAATATCATCAGATGATAAAATCTGTACTTACATACAAAACATTGTTTCTCAATAAGACTTTTCATAAAACTGCAATATCCAGACCTGAAGATTAGCTTGGGGAGTGGGGGCGGAAAAGAACTAAACATACGCCTACTAGGTAGGATCCAATTACAGCCATTATCACAGGAATATGGTAATTCATTCAACGATCGTAATTCCCTGATGAGCGAGTCAATTAGATTTACCATCATCAAACTAACCAGTAATTAGACTAAATAGGCTGTCGGACAATGATCTTAAAAAAATTACACAGTCAATCTAAGCCTTATAAGCCCATGGGGACATCTAAATTAGATTTCTTCTGGTATACCCTGTCTATAATGACACCCTATACAAAATCCATCTTATTTTCCCTGTCTATAATGACACACTCTGTCGACTTAATTTCATAATTCCTGTCTAGATCAACACCCTATACAGAATCCATCCTATATTCTCTGTGTATAATGACACCCTATACAGATTCCATCTTGTTTACCCTGTGTATAATGACATTCTCCCAACTAAATCTGATAATTCTGTCTGTAATGAGACCCTCCGTAGATATCATCTTATTTTTGTCCTTTTCATAACATACATACAATGTTGTGTAGTGATGCCATCTCGAATTTCTTATACTCTCTCATACTTATACACTTGGTCTGCTTCAAACTTTCAAATTCTATATGAAATTTGATCAAAACAAGATGATGTAATCTTGAATGAAACAAACACATGATAAACTACGATCTTTAACGTCACCCATCATCTACACAGACTAGCTTTCTGACCAGACCATACAATTACCAGTCGAACATCGAGACGTAAAAGATTTTTAAGAAGTTTTGAATCTTTTACATTAAAGACTTCTATACTCCTGGGTTTGCCTCCAATGACCTGTCAGTCATGCCCACAGTGCGTCTCGGCTCGTATGACTCACACCATCTTAGTAATCTAGCAACACAGACTCGTTAGCTTTGTCTAAAATATTTTTGAATAAGAGATTTTCTAAGTTTACAAAATACCATTTGAAGCAATTCATCATAAAGACATCCAACAGCATATTAAAAATAAATTTCAAACTTACGTCATTTGTATACATGTAGTAAATATATACGGTATATAAATAAAAATAAGATTTTATAGACATTCACCTAACAAGTATAGAAAAAAAATTAAATCTGTTTCCTGACATTCTGGTGAGGTCTGTCTCTTTGACCACAAACTAGATATATGTATTTACACTTCTTATTTGATTCCAGGAATGCCCGACACTCCAGTAATGAAGAAATTTGTCTCAAAGAATAAGGTTTCAGATTAGAGACAGAATCAAGTAAAAACAGCACTATTATAAATGTAACCTAATGTCTCATTGCTACACCAAAGGCAATCAGATTACCAGGCCGACCACAGTTCCAGGAAAACATTAGCAGGCAGTTGATGGAATGGCACAAAGATCCCTTTTCCTTCATTAAAACTTAAAACACAAATCTCATCTGTGTCAATCAGATCAGCATTTTTTTCTTAACTGTAAAAGCTCAGGTTCCTTACAATTAGAATCACTTGAATTATCTGAAAATGTAGAGAAGCTTAACCATGCTATATATGTTGGAGTACTGTGTACCCTAGATTCTCAATATGTTATTTCCAAACAAGCTGCAACATTTGGGGTGATGAAATCTTGCTGAAGCCAGGAGTAGACCTCCATACTATCTCATATCATAAAACAATTATCAATAATATTGTATTTTTCCTAGTAGTGTCATTTCATTTATATTTTTTTTATGTAGTCTGACTTTGTAAGAAAAAGGGAAGATATTACCATAGATGTTTAGTATGTGCCTAGTAGAGGTCTATGAGAGAAAATACAGCCTAGAATCTCCTATTTTACTCTTGTATAAGTTACATGATAAAGATGTGAAATAACATTAAAGAAAAAAAAAATTCCACTATATAATTTTGATCCTGCAGCATCTAAACAGCTGTTGTTGATAATCAAATGAAGTCAACAGTTTGAGAAGACCTCTAATGATGGGTACAAGAAATCTTTCTTATGTTCGAAATATATTTTGTATAAATGTGTTTGAGCTATACAGAAAATCCTTGTTTTTCTATAAATAAAAGAATGTGATTGAACTTTCTGTCAAAATGACAGCAGTGTTCAACAAAAATGAAAACATATACTCAGTACATGTATTCAAGGAAATTACGGCACATTTTGACAATATAACTGAAATACTTGTCTGGACTGTTGATAGCAGAATTATACTGTCCTAATTAAAGATTCAAAAATGTAAACAAAGGTACTGAATTTTTCTACTAGTGGTCAATAACATTCTTTGTCAAAGTCCAGAAAAGATTGCAATGCACTTCGCTAAAAAATCAATATATTTAAAAATAGTGTTTGTATACTGTGAGTTAAGATGTCCTGACTGTACATTTGTTTGGACAGAAACTTTACAACTGACATGTCCATTCTTGAGATATAAAATAACTGATAACACATTAGCTGATATTTAATTGACAATATGCCATCTAAATATTTAATTGACAAAACACCAGCTGATATTTAATTGACAATATGCCAGCTAAATATTTAATTGACAACACACCAACTGATATTTAATTGACAATACACCAGCTGATATTTAATTGACAATACACCAACTGACATATTAAATTGACATGCACAGCTAAAATTTGATTGAAAAATTCACCAGCTGATAAATTAATTGACAATACACAGCTGAAATTTCATTGACAATACACAGCTGATAATTAATTGACCAGCTGATATTTAATTGACAGCTGATATTTAATTGACAATACACCAGCTGATATTTAATTGACAATACACCAGCTAATATTTAACTGACAATATACCAGCTGATATTTAATTGACAATACACATTAGCTGAAAATTGATTGACAATTCACCAGCTGATAAATTAATTGGCAATACACAGCTGAAATTTAATTGACAATACACCAGCTGAAATTTAATTGACAATACACAGCTGATATCTAATTGAATACACAATGGGGGATATTCCAATAACATCTTCTCATGAGGTTGTTTGTATAATCACGCCTCAGCAGTTCCTTAAACATCACTACGTATAATTCTGTGCAGGTGTACAGTATTAAGTCATCATTTTTATCAATGGCCCCTGTGATTCATATAACATGTCATAGATTTAAAGGTGAGGGGTCAAACACATGATATCACAGATAATGTGGTTGACTTTAAGACTAAAACAGCGATACGTGAACATTTTAAGGTTGATATTAACCCACGTAGTCTCAAATTTCCTGCGGACAGGTTTATCTATCAGATTTGTCAGGTTTTCTACCAGATTATATCTGCATTTCTATCCCTTGATCTATAACTTCAGAGTTACATGTACAAACCCGGAAAAAAAACTGCATAGCATTATATATTTGTCATCAAGGACTTATCTTCACCAGGAAAACTGTGACACAGAAATAAACTTGAACAGTGTACTAAGGTCTGCAATAACAGTGATTGTGGAGTGTAGTTATGAGAAACTATCAAATTTACTTGTCAGGGTGGGAAAATACTGCATGAAAACATAAGCAGCAATAATAACATAGATACAATGACCTAAGATATCTCAGTTCTATTGAACTGTTAGTTCAAGGTAATTGCTCTGTTGGGATGAGGATTATTTAGGAGAAATATAACAAGCCACTGTAGGGCATTCAAAGTGACTTTTGGAGACTAGACAACTACTGTATAGTTGTTATTTTTGGTGGGATAATATTTTTGAGGTAGTCACAATTTGGGCTAGTTCATCAGTATTTATTTTCACACATGTTAATGAAATAGTGTCCATGTATACCGACATAACATGTGTTCTAAATTTTGTTAATTGCTTTAGAAATGGACGCTGGGTATTAATTTCTATAATATTTACTGACTGTGAATAGAGCGAAATTAAATCTACCACAAATATTACCAACTATACAATATTAAAATGCATACAGTGTCTACTGTGTCTACTGTGTCTACTGTGTCTACAGTGTCTACTGTGTCTACAGTGTCTACTGTGTCTACAGTGTCTACAGTGTCTACTGTGTCTACAGTGTCTACAGTGTCTACTGTGTCTACTGACAAACCAAACCAATGAACAAAATTTACTCCCAATAACAGATAGGCTTAAAGGACAGTGTCCTATACATAACTAGTTTGAGGGAAGGAAAAAATAAAAACATGGTCAAACATTTCTGTGTATACGGTACGTAATCACACAACATATGGATGTACTACTCATTCATTAGAAAGCATGCAAAAAGTATTGGTATTTAAATGCACCAAGCTTTGATAGTAGAAACAATCCTACCTTTTCTGAAGCTACTGCTGCCATTTTTGAAGCCCCAACTGTAAATGATGACCATCCCTGTAAAAAAAAAGTACTTTGTTTATAATAATGATAGGAAATCTTCTTTTCATTGAGAGGAACAGGATATATATATATATATAAACCACGAGAGACATTTTCAAATAAAACTATTATCAAACTAAGCAAATGATACTACCAGAAATTTTTTTTTATATTTTCACTGTTTATCACAAAACTTATTATTAATTTTTGTAATTTATAATGAAGTAAAACTTAAATTTTGACATCATTTTCCTAAACTATGATAACTTCCTAAAGTAGTGACATCAATATGACAACCATTCACATGTTTTCTTTGAAAAAAAAAGAAAGAGAGAGAATGAAATTTTATCGGATTATTTATTAAGAACTTTCCATCACATTTTCAGCTAAATGTCCTGTCTTAATGAAACCTTCTGTTCAGGAGAAATAAATACTACAATATTTTCAACATGCTGTCATGACAGCCATCATGAATGTAGTGCAGGTCCCAGTTATATTACAGCCATTTGTAACCTATTCACAACCCATCATTGGAAGTCCTGTCTTGATGCAAAATTCTTTTTTCGAAGAGATAAAGTAATTTTCAAGATGGCAACCATGAAGCCATCTTGAATGTGGCTGGCATAGGTCAAAATTTTATTTAGGACTATTTGTAGATCATACAGCCATACAATTCAAAAGTAAAAGTCCTGTCATGATATATCTTTCTGTTCAGGAGGAGAAGTAATGAAGTAATAAAATTTTCAAGATAGCGACCATGATGTCAATGTAGCAAATATCCTAATTTTATTTAGGATCATCTGTTAACTCTTTATGTTCAGGAGGAATAGTGATAAAAACATGTTCCCAATGGCACCCTGATTTAAGGTACAGACAGTCTTACAGATCAACACAAAAAGGCCACTTTGAGTCCTAACAACATTTCCCACAATAAATAAAAACCAACGTGAATGATAATTAGGCTTTACTCACAGATTGAATGGAGGAAAAAGTGTTTTCAAAGAAATCATCGTCTCTTTTGGTTGGAGTGACCGTACTTCCAAATCCTACATACTTCCCTCCCTGGCTAGGTGGCAAGTGTCTGAAAATAAAACACAAGAAAACTTCAGCCAATCTTCTAACAAAAAATTGACACCAGATAAAATATCAATATCACAGAAGTTATCTCCCCCTTTTTTTACAGCTTACCATCGTATGCTATTTATGATCATACAAGTTATCTCCCCTCTATCATTGCTTACTGTTATACACTATTTATAAGAGGACTTTAGCTCAGACTTACTCAAGCAATGTCAAAGTTCATGGAAAAACAAATGGACTTGTAGTTGCTGTATTTATACATATCATATCTTAAATTGTCTCCTCAAATACATTGTTAATTCCTTGGATTGGTAGAAAAATTCTGTGTGTTAAATGTAATTCTAAGATGTCTTGGTATTTGTATAATGGTGTACTTTGATAATGGGGATATAGGTCACTTTTCAGTAACTGTACCCCCATCTCCCTAGTGCCCAGGTCCACACCTTTTCTAGAGATTTAAAAACTTACTCTGGACGTTGTGCATTCTCTTGCTGTACTCTATCAAAGAAACCATCTCTCTGTTTCTTGAAGTCATCACTGAAAGGAATTTTTAACATCGTAAAATGCCAATAGAAACGACTAAACTTCCATTTTTTTTTCTCATTTTGTCAAAAAGAATACAGTCAGAAATATCAAATGGAAAATATCTTTTCCTACCTTATACATTACATCCCTATATTTTAAAGGACACACAATGCTATAAGCCATAGTTGTCAATGTTAAATTACAATATTTAGTGGAGTAGTCAGTTACCTTTCTTGTTTCAAATCTATTATTGGAAGTGACTTTTCATACTACGTCTAACTACTGACACAATACAGAGATATCATGATCACTGTGTCCGTTACATATCATACTGTATATTAATCAAAGCTGAATCACAATATACACAGGTTTGTTGTTCTTTCCTGTCACATCTGGTACTAATACTATTACCAAGACAAAAATTTGAAAAAGATTTTTATCCTGAAATGATCAATTACTTTTACCTCTATCTCTATCAAACTCAGATGTTGATTAAACTTTTAAAAAGTAAGTATGTAAAAAAGAAAAGATCTGAATATACCATGGCAAATCCTGGTGATAGTATGTCTAACTTTGTCAACTTTAAGCAAAAATATTTTAATTAGAAATTGACATACATGTAACTAATAGTAACGGGATCTAAACAGGCACTCTGTTTCCACTATACAATAAAATAGAAATCAGACATCAAACTACATGCTAGATTGCTGAAGAGTTTAAAGAAAGGAGGCTAACAATGTTTCCAATCATTTAACTATTAATCAAACTGCTTGTCTACCAGCGAGGTGGCTCTGCAAGCATAAATCAGAGCTCTGGCCCCATGTATAGCGAGGTTAATAAGTAATGTGTGACTCGGTCAGTACCCTAACACTAATCATGGAATTAAATTGCACATGGATCAAAACATCTATCCCTTATCTACAAGCTGATACCAATGTAATGTTTCAAAAGTTAAGTGTAAACATATATTTAAATACTTTTTCTGTATCTACCTATGTTTCGATGGAAATCAGGACAGGAACTCAACCGCGGGACTAAACAGGAACCGACGATACCCAAGGTGTTTCCCAAAAAGTTATGTCATATATTATTACAAAAATAACCCCGACAAATATAATCACACTTGGATAACATTCACTGTCTTTTAAATCTTAAATTAATCCTTTTATAGCCATAATATTGTTGTATGTCTCTAACCATTGTACAAATAGCACAGAAGTGAAGTGGAAGAGGAAGAGCAAAATGACTGTGTTTATATTATTTTCTGAACATTTGTGCAAGCCCATGAAGGGCAATTAAAATTGGTTTAACCTGTGGTTTAAAATTAGGGGCTGACAATAACCTGTGGTTTAAAGTAGCTAAGGGGCTAACAATAACCTGTGGTTTAAAGTTAGGGGCTGACAATAACCTGTGGTTTAAAGTAGCTAAGGGGCTAACAATAACCTGTGGTTTAAAGTTAGGGGCTGACAATAACCTGTGGTTTAAAGTAGCTAAGGGGCTAACAATAACCTGTGGTTAACCTGTGGTTTAAAGTAAGGGGCTTACAACAACCTGTGGTTTAAAGTAGCTAAGGGGCTATAAAATAACCTGTGGTTTAAAGTTAGGGGCTGACAATAACCTGTGGTTTAAAGTTAGGGGCTACCAATAACCTGTGGTTTAAAGTTAGGGGCTGACAATAACCTGTGGTTTAAAGTAGCTAAGGGGCTAACAATAACCTGTGGTTTAAAGTTAGAGGCTGACAATAACCTGTGGTTTAAAGTAGCTAAGGGGCTATAAAATAACCTGTGGTTTAAAGTTAGGGGCTGACAATAACCTGTGGTTTAAAGTTAGGGGCTACCAATAACCTGTGGTTTAAAGTTAGGGGCTAACAATAACCTGTGGTTTAAAGTTAGGGGCTGACAATAACCTGTGGTTTAAAGTTAGGGGCTGACAATAACCTGTGGTTTAAAGTTAGGGGCTGACAATAACCTGTGGTTTAAAGTTAGGGGCTAACAATAACCTGTGGTTTAAAGTTAGGGGCTGACAATAACCTGTGGTTTAAAGTAGTTAGGTTGCTGACTAAAAGCCTGTGGTTTACAGTAAGGGGCTGACAATAACTTGTGGTTTAAAGTAAGGGGCTGACAATAACCTGTGGTTTAAAGTAGTTAGGTCACAAGGTCAATTAAGATAACAATTTGGTTTCAGTACTCCTAAGTTTTCATTAACACATTATGTGAAATGTACCTGTTGATCATATCCTTTTGGTAACTCTGGTTGTCAGAGAAAGAGAAATCTGAAGAACTGCTGTTCGTGTAATTACGACTTGAGCTAGATGATGTCTTCAATCCAGCTTGTGGCAAGGCAGCAACATAATTTCTCGCAGATGAAGTCTTGATGCTCCATGGCCTGCCTTCAGCCTCTGTAGTAATCTGTTTAGATAAAAGATGTTTGTGCACACTTCAAACAAGTATAGAATGTACACTTTCATACCATAGGTTTAAACAGAATGAAACATGATCTGACAAAAAAAAGAACACAAAATTACAGTGCTTAACTCATCACAAAACCGTGCTTACCTTATCATGTTACAGTGCTTACGTTATCAAGGTACAGTGCTTACCTTATCACAGTACAGTGCTTACCTTATCACAGTACAGTGCTTACCTTATCACGGTACAGTGCTGCAGCCTTTGAGTTGTACTTGTCATGCAGAGACATTCCATCGGTATAATCAGGCTGGGACTTGAAAAAGTCTTTTGCTTTCCTGTTTCCTCCTACTTTCATTTTTTCAAGTTCAGAATCTTTCCATTTATCCATAGAAACTGATCTTACAAAACTGAATAAAGAAATAAGATGTTTATAAAGTATGAAAACTCAATTTTTTGTTGCATTGAACATCTTCAATTCACCTTGGATACATAACATTCCATCTTACTTCTTTATCATCTTACAAGCTCATTTTCCAAATGTCTGCGGAATTTATTGTCTTGCTGTCCAAGCTTAGAATTTAATTAGTTTAAAAATAATAAATTACCAGTACTGTTAAGTAAAATGTGAATGTAGAAAATTCCAATGATTTCAAAATTCCATAAGAAAATTTGAATTCTCGTTCTTAAACATTGTTGAGCTTTTACAAGTATGAACAAGTAATCTGAATAGAAGATATCACAATTTATCATGTGAAAAATTTTGTGTCTTCTCAGAAAAGCAAGCAAGTGACTTTGAAAAAACTGACATCTTGCAGACACTTAAGAACTTACTACACTCATTACAACTGACTTTGAAATAAATAATCAGATTTGTTTCACCTACACCTGGGCTTTGTTCTTGAATGTTATCTGATATTATGATCATATCAATAACGAATAAAACAAATTAACAAATAAAACACTCTGTATGTATAAGTAATTAATCAGTAAAGAACAGCAATGATGTCAATAAAAGCTTACCTGAGATGAACGCCTAAACCTCTGTGTTTTCCTGAACATTCTAGACAAATCCAGATTCCATAGGTCACACTCACCCACTGGGGATTGTGGACGCCGCATTCAAAACATGACTGTAAAATCAAAGCAAATGTATTCATAAAAGGATTTTGATGGTCCCAAGTTTTTTTTAGTTTTCTTTTTATTGTGATTAAGCTTTTAAATGAAAAGAATCAAAAGTTTTCATGTCTGGATAGTAGCATGTCATCTTCACAAACCACTGTCAACTTGGTGCAGAGGCAATTTTTGTCATTCACCTGCAATGACAAGGTTCTGTTTGCCATCTTCTACTTTTCACTAGCTTTGCTAATGTTGATTTAATTGATCAGTCACTAATCAGCCAGTTCTTTTTGTTTTTCATTTGTTACCTGATTGACTCAGACTTAAGTGATCCTACAATCTCAGAATATATCAAACTTGCTGTCTAAATTAATATACAGGTTTCTGAGCAAATCGAGAGTTTCAAACTTTTTTGTAATTTAAGAACTTTTAGACTTTAAACAGTGTAACTTTAACAGTGTAAAGTTAATAACTTTCACTCTTTTAGAAAAAATAGACATTTTCCAAGTAATCTATTTTCATAACTTAGATTCAATGATGTATCATACTCTTATCTAAATCTGTTATAAAACTGTTAAATAGCTTAACATATATATATATATATGTGTGTGTGTGTGTGTTATGCCTTGTATATCATAATGTATTTATGCCCTATTAACTTATTAACTTCAGTCAGATTCCTCTGTTTTTATCATTATTAAAGCTATGCTCTTTTCAGACGTTTCCTTTTCAAATTAGATTTTCTCATATTCTAACATTTTCTGCGGAATAACTTTTTTTTTAAATATTCAAAATTACGACCAGAACAAAATTACTTCAATCACGGCTTCCAATGCTTAAGCATTGTAGCTATTTATATGCCCTTTATAGTTAAGTCATTTCTTGACTATATTTTTTAAACACCTATCCCTCTTTTCCATTCTTATATCATTCTAATTAATCTTAAGTGTTATCTTTTCATTCATGAAGCACATGGCAAGTATGACAATGTAAGATATATATCTCTGTCAATATATATACATATGTCAGCTGATCACGGTTTCTCGACACTTAATATGGAAACATTATATCTTACATTACTCTCATCTTTAATCCTTAAATCTTTCAAAACTCTTCTGGTTCTTGGGCTGGCCATATTTCCTTCTTGTTATCAGAAACTTTCGTCCTGTTTATCCTTCGAGCAATGTAAAATCACTAAAATTATTATTATGAGTCTGGTGAGTTGTCAGTTTCGTCCACCATTGACATCGGCATATAAAGCTACCACGACATTGCCGTATAAAACAATAATTATTTTAAAAGATTAATCATAACACAGGTTGGTGATCACCGAGATGGAACTATAAAACAATGGATTTTACCACAAATTTAAATAAACCTTTATCAAAAACTCTTTCTATAAAAAGTCTGCAAGAAAATACGAAACTGAGGTTAGTTAAGAAGTGCTTTCGAATAATGGCGGCGCCAAACAATCGTTCGAATAACCTGCTCCCTGTTTACAATGTGTAAGACAGAGTCGAGAGATGGAAGATGGACACAAGTCATAAAAAAGCCAAAAAGGATGGAAAATTTGACACCCATCGTCCATATAAACTAGGTGATTTAATGTCTCAATTATATGAAGTGGTAGCTCCTGGAATTGAAAACGTGAATGCCATCTTCCAAAATTGACGATTACAATGGTATCAAAACCGGCTTCTACTGTCAGAACCGTCAATCATTTATTTTATTATACTTGGGAGGTGGGAATCATCAGTTTGGTGATGACCAAGATCAGACTCAGTCAATTTATTCATGTGATACTTACCAGTGATATATATAGAGAGAAAATTTAGTTTTTCCTAAGCCATCTGTCATATTGAAACTTTATAACAGCTATCAGAAAACTTCCAATCTGAAATTAGAGCCATTTCTTATATGATCTGAGAAAGGACTCATCTATTCGACTGAAGATTGTTCAGATGGGATTGCATGTTACTGTAGTACATGTATTTGTGACAGACTTAATAAATATCTGTAGTAACCATAAGTATATTGCATCAACCTGTTTACATTAACAGTGTTAAAGGAAACTTATGACAGACCTGCCTTGTTGAAAAAAATGCAGCTAATGAAATAAGAAGAAAATTATGTTTAAGCCATGACGGAGTACATTCAAATGTGCTGTGCTTTTTAAATCAGGTTTTCACTAAGTTCAAAGCAACAAATGAATTTTTTAAAAAGAAGAATTTTTTTCTGATTTATTACATTATGCATGATAATGCATACATAAAGATCTTGCAGAACATTTGTGTTTTTATTTGCAGCTCATCAGACATTATGTATCAGGGCCATCAACTTCAGGCAGAGAGCCATTTTTGTGAGTGTATCTCTTTTTATTTTTATGGTCTGTTAATGAAATTGTAGTCGAAGAACCTTCCAGATTTCATGTTTATTGTATATGAACAAGGGTGAAAATTCAAGTCTTTTAAAATCACATAATATTCTGATTATTTCAACAAAAGATAGTAAAACCACTTATGTGCTTTATAGGAGTTAATATACACTTATGTTGTAATGGTTTCTTTTGAACAACATTACTATGGTCTTGATTACATCTAAGACTTTAGAGTTAAGATCTAACATAGTTTGAAAATCTAACATTATTTTTGTTTGAATGTGTTTATTCTTGTTTACAGGGCTATGTGGAACTCACCATCCATCCACTTCAGAATGACCTGAGAAGAATCAAGATAAACAGCAAACAATGTAGTATCCTTTATTTTCTGCATAAATTACCTGGTATACATAGTGGTCAGGGATTGATGTAGTATCTGGGGCAAATGTGTAAAAAGGTTCTTTTGCCGAGTATGTCTATAACAAACTTGTCATTCGCTGAATTAGTCTGTCGTTGACTTGTCATACACAGTACTATAATATGCGAACCTAACGCTGAATAATTTAATGGTGAAGTTTTTAAAAAATTTTGTAAGATGTAGACATATCTTATAAAGTCATTATTTAGAAAAAAGTGAAATATGTTATCGTTCTAAATAGAATTATAAAATGTTGCATGCACAGAATAAGGTGGTTTCGAGTCGCTTTAATTTTCTGTGGAAATGCATGTTCATATATGTACATATGTTAGGATAGTAACCCTTTGTTCACACCAGTTACACGCCTTAAATAACCAGAAAAAGTTTGAAGGCTCCTGTATATTATTAATTAAGCTTATTTGATAAGTTGTCAATACAGAGATCTTTTAACCTTTCAGGAAATTTGCTATAGATTTCTTCTTCATGTTGTTTTGACATCACTGTTAGGATAAAAATAAAAAATAATCTATAATTAGAATCTATCCTTACAACAATGACAAAACTTCATGGCTTTTGTATCCTTAACCTCGACCAGAACTGTTCCATGTAGCAGTCAATGACCAGTGGGAGGCTCGCTTCCTGTACAATGACCCCACTCTAGAGATTTGTCAGGAAGATGGCAAACAGTAAGTACCTGTCACTGTGTAGAAGTTACCAATGGCATCAATATTTCATGATTTCATATGGACAAAGTATTTGTCTTGTCTGCATCAAATAGCAGCGAATCAAAGACAATGTCATTGTCAGCATTTCACTTTTTTTTGAAGTTTTGTGTTTATTTACATTACTGGAAAAGGATTAATCTAACTTTAACCAAACTTTGTTTTATCTTTAGATCGCATAGTGAAATACATCTATTCTTTACAAAATATTTTCCTAATTTTATTGTCCAGGATCCTTACAATAAGGGGTGCTGAAAAACCTCACTATAAAGTTTTGCATTTAGGTTCATTTCTCATAAAATAGAAGTGCCTTCACAAGGAAAAAAGGTGACAAGGTAGTATGAAGATCATAATTCGTCAAATAGATTAAATGAATTTGAATTTTTTGTTTTATCATTTGTCATGTACCATGTCCATGTGGATCTGATTGAAATTGTCTACAATTCTTGTGCTATGATTATAAATCAAATTGAAATTATCAACAACATTTGTGTTATGATACATTTTGTGTTCTTTCATCATAGGAGGAATCTGGATTTTTTCCAAAACTGCCACTTGAAGTCTATGCTTTCTGTTGACCCTGACCAAGGCAATGGAGAGGTTACCATTAAACTTCCTGTTGAAGTCTTCCCCATCATTGCTGGTAGGAACAACTAAATGTCAACTAAAAACTTTCTGTAAAGAAGACATTTTGATTATCACTATGGTCTGTTTTGATGCCCTGCCTCATTTCTGATATTTTTGAAAGCATCTTTTCCATTACTGCAATAGTATTTTGGAAAAGTTTGGGATGTTAGCAGTAAGTTCTGGTGTGTATAAACTGTATCTTATCTGCTTTAGATAAAACATGTGTCGCCTTCATAACACTGTCGCAACATTGTCAGGGATATATATCCTCTGAATCTGCCTATACCCATATATACACATACACTATGTTAACATCATTGTTCTACAGGCTTTTTTCTTGTTTAAAACTTTTACTGTTGTAGAAGATCATATTGTAATCTTATAGGGTCAAAGGTCATCTCAGAAAAAGTTTCATGGCGATTGCCTGCAGTCCGTTGAAAACAATTGACATTTTCTACTTATTCTGGAAAACCCTTGATCCATTTTCTGGAAAACCCTTGATCCATTTTCAATGAAATTTTGCTTAACCCTTCCATGGCGAATGGTGAATGAAAATGGTGAACTTTAAGGTCCCAATCCACCAGAAGCCTCAGGGGCAGAGCAAAAGGGATCAAATTGACTCCAAGTTCTTCTCAACATTAATATATGGTGGAATCAAATACTCTTTATTTTAATTCAGATGGAGTTAGAATCCTTATCATGGTAGTTAATGTTATGCACTGAACATATTTGCATTAGGTGTACAGCGTAGGCAATGTTGTCTTACTTTGTCAACAGACCTACGTTTGTGAACAACAACATGATTTAAAGAACTCAGGTGACCATTGAGACACTTGGGTCACTCACCACTACTTCCATTCTAAGAGTTTAAGAGACATCAGTCATGTCTTATCATAAATTTCAAATTAGTTAAATGATTATCACCTATAAATATGCTGTATTTTTCATGTTGAGTGAAAATTTATGTTGAGTCATTTGGATAACAAAACAGTTTTATTCATTTTCAGATCTGAGACCAATTAAAGTCTGTATTGAGTTTGCCGTGGAACAGCCAAAGGGTGGAGTACACTTTGTGATACCAGATACTGAGGGCACACTGTCGGAGAAGGCTGCACACATGTTCACATACAGACATGAAAATTCCTCAAGGTCAGAGCTTACAAATTTCTTATGTGAAAAACCCCCTCGTACATTAAATTTTGGGACTGATTCTGAGCTTAAAATTCATTTTGTATATTATCAGATATCTGATATTTGGTCTGTTCAGTTCATATATTTCAGACATCTGATATCGGGTCTGTTTAGTTCATATATATTTCAGACATCTGATATTGGGTCTGTTTAGTTCATACATATTTCGGACATCTGATATTGGGCCTGTTTAGTTAGGGCCCCGCATCGCGATGCGGGTGCCCTATAGTAATCACCTTGTCCGTCTGTCCGTCTGTCTGTCCGTCCGTCTGTCTGTCCGTCTGTCTGTCCGTTTTGCTTTCCGCACGATATCTTGAGAAGGAATGATGAGATTTCAATGAAACTTGCTTATGATACTTGGTACATAAGTCCCTCGCTCAAGTTCGATGTTCGCCAAATTCCGCGCATATTTAATGAGGCTGCTGCAATCTGATTGGCTGAATGTTTTACATGTCTGTCGGTTTCGCTTTCCGCGCGATATCTTGAGAAGGAATGATGGGATTTCGATGAAACTTGCTTATGATACTTGGTACATAAGTCCCTTGCTCAAGTTCGATGTTCGCCAAATTCCATATTTAATGAGGCTGCTGCAATATATATGTTTTACATGTCTGTCAGTTTCGCTTTCCACGCGATATCTTGAGAAGGAATGATGGGATTTCGATGAAACTTGCTTATGATACTTGGTACATAAGTCCCTCGCTCAAGTTCGATGTTTGCCGAATTCCGCGCATATTTAATGAGGCTGCTGCAATCTGATTGGCTGAATGTTTTACAGAGAATATCTTCTGAAGGAATGATCTGGGATTTCTTTAAAACTTGCTTCGTGATACTTGGTACATAAGCCCCTCATTCGAGTTCAATGTTCACCCTGTCCGTCTGTCTGTCCGTCCGTTTCCCTGTCCGTCGATCCATATATTTGTCCATCTGTCCATTTTCATTGGATTTTGATGAAAGTTGCTTTCAATACTTGACACCTGTTCATATATTTCTTAATATTAAGAAACTCAATCATAAGGGGTAGGTATTATGCGGGGCCCTTCCTCGACAATGGTCTAGTTCATATATATTTCGGACATCTGATATTGGGCCTGTTTAGTTCATATATATTTCGGACATCTGATATTGGGTCTGTCGGTCAGACATAAGTGGTTTTGCTGACATAGGCATTTTTTTAAAAAGTGGCTTGAGATGCTACCTATCCATAGAATTAGGATGTAACTTTAAAAAACTAGAGCCCAAGTAATGATGCCAATTACTTTCTCACATTTTAATTTTTAGTTCATCTGAGACAGCCTCATAGTGACCTATGACGTCTTGTCTAGCGTTGTGCATTTTTTAACATTTTTACTACTATAGCCGTGATATTATAGCTTCATTTCCATCATAGTGGGAGCGGAGACATATTGTTTTTTTCTCATTACTGTTATATAAAAGAAGCTGATATCAATTTTCTGATAGGCTATGGTTCCCCTGTATTGACACATACTCCGAGCCATGTACATGGAAGATTGAGATTACCTGTGACCTGAGTATGACCGCGGTCAGCTGTGGAGAACTTATCGAGACAGTCTACACTTCAGACAGAAGGAATAAAACCTTCCACTACTTTCTGTCAATGCCAACTGCTGCACCAAACATTGCAATGGCTGTGGGGTAAGAATCTAGCAGATTATCAGTGGTGAATTAATGGTTAAAAAATCTGGATACAGAAAAATATTTGTTGAAGGATGATGTTATCTATTCTAGTACCATACATGTATGATATGAACTGAACCATAGGAATGTATTAAGAGAACAAAAGTTTCATTTTCATATTTCATAATATATCAATTTTTTTACTGTGACATAACATTAACCTGTTAGTGTTGGGAAAAAATGTTTTGTCTATCGTTATCTCTGTATAAAACATTTCTGAAATCTTTATGTGTATGTAAAACATTTCTGAAATCTTTAAGTCAAAAAAATTCTGAAATCTTTATCTGTATGTAAAACATCCCTTACTTTTTTCACTAAATCATTATACTGCAGTGACGTTCCCCTGATATTGAGCATTATACTGCTGTCAAATTACATTGGTAGTAAATTTGATGTGTCACCAAAAAGATTTCAGTGCTTAAAATGATTAGTATTTTCAAAAATTATTTGCTGTTCAAATCAAGTTTATATCCATGTTCATACATTTGCTCAGTGAGTTATCATTACGGTATCTATAACGATAATTACAAAAACAATTTTTCCTCTGATTTTTATGAATGAGGTGATTGGTAAGTGGACTTGGTAGGATTAAACAATATCCTTTGGCAGTTTTCTCTTTAAGGTGAACTTTGAAATTATTTATTTTGTAGACCATTTGAAGTACTAGTTGACCCCAACATGCATGAGGTCACCCACTTCTGCTTACCTCATCTCACGGATCTCCTCAAACATACCACCAGTTATATCCATGAGGTAGGCTGACTCCATGTTTACATGGTGTGAGAAATTGTTTAAAACGGAACTTATAGATGTTGTATCTATATCAAATTTCAAACTGTCAGTGAAAATATTTTGTGAAAAGTTTTTAAATAGCTTGTCCCATCAACCTTTCAAAATATCACAACAGAGGCAGACAAGATTTCTTTTTATCTGTATTTTCTAAAAATGGTTTAACCCAAAGTTTTCAATTATTGCATATATTTGTGCAAGAGATATTTTTGTATAAATTGTAAAGCATCTGATTTGTCTGACTTCATCCTCCATAATTAGTATACTTTTGAAATTGTGTGACTTGTGGAACTTCTCAAACTCCACCACTGGTATATACATCAAACTTGGCTGGAATGATCTTAGAAGGATCCTGATCTATGTAGTTATCTCCCTTATGATGTCAGTTCTTATCATAATAGAAATTAACTCATTCACAACTGACTTTGTTTTATTAGGTTTTTAATTTCTGTAACCTGGAGAAAAAATGTGCTTGTAATTATTTTGATGAATCTACATTGAACCCTCCATAATTATCTTGATGAATTTGTACTTTGTACAGGCGTTTGAATTTTATGAAGAGCTGTTGTCTAGTAGAAACCCCTACTCCTGTTACAAACAGGTGTTTGTAGATGAAAGCTACCAAGACTCCATGCCATATGCCACCATGACCATATTCAGGTAAAAATTAAAGAGGATATCACAGTTTTTATCAAAATAGTGTATTGAATATAGGACTTGTTATACTCTTGTGACAAAGTTGTTGGAAGGTATATAAGGATCATACGTATGCTTGTAATGTCTGCAATATAACTATAGATTTTAAAGTTGATGTTGTGATTTCATCATAATCAAAGTAAACTTGACAAACCACTGTCCTTACTTTCATGTGTCAGAAGGGTTTCAAGAGTCACGTTCATCCGCTCTCTTTTGTCACAGAAGAATTTTTAAGATACTAATGCATCATGTCTTGGTGTTGGAAAGAAATTATGTGATGTGATCAACCATAGGAACAGAGGATGCATATATGTAATTGAGTATTTTAGAAAAGTGTACTAACACACTAATCAGTTAATGTTTACAAAACTGTTTAGCACCAACCTCCTCCATTCACCACGGATCATCGACCAGACATTGGAAACACGTCGTATACTGGCTGCTGCTGTAGCAGAACAGTTCTTTGGCTGCTTCATCACAATGCAATCTTGGTACGTTACACTTTCCACTGAGATGTAGATTCATAATTTAAACTTGAATAACAGCTTTGTCAACAAACATGGCATTTACAGTGGTTATTTGAAAAAATGTTTACATTTTTACATAAAGTTTTCCTTTGTTAATTTGATGAATTTAAATTTTGGAATTAAACTGTAAGATGGTGGTGATGATTCTAACTTCTTTGTATTGTTAGATTCTGTAAACGTACATATTTCAGTGGTGATTTTATTTCATTGTTTTAGTTCTTTTCATGCTGAAAATATTATTCTAATTCCATTTTCTTTTTGCTGTTTATATGGAAATTATTGTGGATGCATGAATTGATCATTTCACCAATTTAAATATATTTACAATAATGTTGATTGCAACCTTTTGACAGTTCTGACATGTGGATAACAAGGGGCACGGCAGGCTACCTCACAAGTCTGTTTGTGAAGAAAACCTTCGGAAACAATGAGTACAGGTACATAATAAACAGGGTAAGTAAATACAGTAGTTTTTGGATGGAGTTATTTTGCAAAATGGAACATTTCATGAATTTACGTTAATGTATCTTTGATATTTAAAAAGAACTCATTTCAAATGTGACATCGATTTAATATTTATACACCCATTTTGTTTTTGATTTTAGGACCTAAAGGAGGTACAAGAGTATGAGAACCGTGTGGGTGGAATACTGTTGGATCCTTCCTTAAAAGACTGTAACCACCATTTCTCCATACGTAATCCCCACACGCTATCACCCAAGTATATAGAGGTCTTTTCAAAGAAGGCCTACCTTGTCATGCGCATGCTTGAAATCAGAATTGGAGCTCAGCTTCTTATACAGGTAGGTTGTAGGTTAGTGAGTGGTTCTATTGAGGGTAAGGACACAGCCATTATATGGGTGAAACAAGAGTACAGACAGGTTGCTTATACATACAAGATAGGAAATGAAGACACAGCCATCATATGAGTGAAACATGCGTGCAGGTTAATGATACATATGAGGTAGAGTTGTTGACACAGCCATTACATTGGTGAAACAAATACGTACAAGGTAGTGACTGTTGACTCATCCATATGGGTGAAACATGCATACAGGTTAATTACACATAAAAGATAGGAAATGAGGACACAGAATTTATATTTTAAAACAATGAATTTGTACTGAAAGCTGCTGAACTTTGTTATAAGATTAACAATGTCCTTTCCTTTTAGGTTTTCAACAAGGTATTGTCATTAGCATACTCTGCCTCTCAACAGAAGTTCATTGCCAACACCTGGAACAATATGTGTGTGTCTACACACTCAGTAAGTAGTACAGTTGTCATTCAGTATTTACAGCCGTAAACAATCAACAGTGTATAGTTTATCATGGAAAGTATTAAATTTGATGAAACAGTCTATACCGATCGTCTGCAGTGATGCTGTATACTGTAATTCTAATGGAAATATGTGCGTAGTGCCTTAGTTAGCTGAGTGTGTTATTGCAATTCACTCTTCATATTAATTGCCCTATAATCTTTTTATAATGCCCATCTTACTTATTTGGAAGCAATAGGTATTAGGTTTTAATTCTAGTTCAAACCTGAGAAAAATCATTCAAACATTTCAACAATTTATAAATATAAGTACCTTTTATTTTTCATAATCAAGAAATTTGAATTTGCAGTCAACTTTCCTATTTATATATGTCATACATGTATATTACATATATTAGATAATATATAGAACATAATATTTTATGTTTGCCAGTATGTTTAACATAGCATTATTTTTTATTGACAGTGTCTGAAGCTGATCTCCACTGTGACAGGGAAAGACATTCAACCCTTCCTAGATCTCTGGGTGTATCCTTGTTATTTAAGCTTACAGAAAATATATGTCTTTTAAACAATTACTGAAAACCAACTTTCTTTCATACAGGATTTGCTTTCTCAAATTTAGGATCAAAGTAAAACCACAAAAATTAATCAATTAATTAGAACCAAGATAATGAACATTATTGGGTATTGTAACATATGTTGTTGATGAAGTATGAAAAGTCGTTTCGGTCTATGAACAGCTCACCTGTTATGTCCAAATTAGCAACTAAATTCAACATTCAACTTGTATAGTGATTTACTTAAAATATGTACTGATAACTACAATAATTTTCATAATACCATGGTTTCCTTAACTTATTTTGACAGTACTCAGAGTGGGTGTGCCAGATTCTTTGGGAACTCTGTTTTCAACAGAAAAAGGAATGTTGTTGAACTAGAACTCAAGCAGGACCTTGGGGCCAAGGGGTCACTGAAATATGTGGTAATGTACAAATATTAGACATCTGGGTCTCACAAATGTTTGGTACATGTATCCACTATTTACCTGGTAAATAACATTAAGTTGTCAAGGATTACTCTAACAATTTAATTGTTTACTTTTAACATTCTAGGTTTAAATGTTTGATGGAATACAAGTAATGTAGAATTGCTATGTTATGAATTATAGATATTTAATATGCTTGATGGTGATGATTTTTTTAAAAACATGGTGATTGGTTGTTGTCAGGGACCTCTGACTGTGACTATACAAGAACTGGATGGATCCTTCAACCATACATTTAAGATTGAAGAAAACAAGACCAAATTTGATATCACATGCCATTCTAAAAGCAGAAGGTATATATGCTGAGGAGAAACACATGCATGCATGACACCAAGGCTGAATTTTTAATTTAATCACGATTATTATTATTTCCCAATATGTAGCTATATGAAGCAGCAATATTAGTGTCCTTCAGTTACAGTGAAATCTGCTTGTTATGATACTCTGTTTTCCAGATAAAAACACAATAGATGATATATTATAGTAGATGAGTAAGCTTTTAGATTGTGAGAACAGGAAGCATGACAGTATGATAGGAACCTGATTTCTAAATGAAAACAGAATAAAAAAAAACGTGTTATGATTAATAAATAGTGGAATCCCTTGAAAAATATAGGTTTACGATGATTCTGGATCTTCACCAAACTTTGAGGGATAAGTGTTGATGCTTTTAGATGTTCAAACAACTTTTTTTGTGATTTGACAAGATGGCTGTCATTTTCTGACACCTGATTGGTTAATACTTTTTTACCTGTAACTTTGTTCTATTCGGTGCATCACGATTACAATTGGTGGGAAGGATAACTATAGGAAAGTCCCTAGGATTGTGTAATAAATATGCCAGTCACCATAATGGCTGCCAAATAGAGGCTTCTGGTTGGTTAAAATTTAGACACTATCTGATTTTTATGAAATTTGGTATGGAGGTGAAATATGACATCGAAGCACCATGGTGATGTCAGTTTTCTGACTGGACAAAATGGCAGACTAGGGGATTATTTGAAAATTTAATTTTTATAGTTGTACATCAGGGTTTCCTGCCAGTGTCAAGTGTATTGATTGAAATTTTCCAAGGTGTACACCAGTGTGTTCCACAGACCTTCCTTTCCAGTACTGATGTACTTAGATAAGCATCAATCACAACTGAAGGGGTAGCATTGGGGACTTATGTAACTGAACTCCTGTTACATTTGTATCAATTAAAATGTAATTGATATTGATCCTGGTAGCTGCATTTTTAATCATCATAGGCACAGTCATATCGGGAACAAGATAATTTATAGTTTCACGTTTAGTTCTGTTTCTAAGAACTGAGTGTAACTGAAGGCAGAATAGATTAATGTAATGCACTGTTCAACCAGAACAATGTGTTAATCATCAGCATTTTATCAATTATCATGATTTGCTGGATTTGCAAAAATAAACAATGTTACCTGGCACATTGACAAAACCATTTTGCCACATGAAAAGCTGTGCGATCATGTGACAATTATATATCATGCTACTTAAGCAGTTTTTGACAGAAAATTTCGTAAAATTCTATGTGATAAATCTTTTAACTTGTTTTTCCATAAGTGTATTGAAGTGAATGAAAATATATACTAAGTGGGTTTTGCTGTACAATGAGACAGTTGATTAAATTGCTTTCAATATAGGATGATTTTCATACAAAAAATTGACAAAATCTGATTTCAGAAACAAAAAAAAGAAGATTCCATTAATGACAGCAGAAGAGGTAGATATGGATTTGAGTGCCATGGAGTAAGTATGCTAACTATAAACATTGCAAGTCACTGGATATATCTCACGGCTACTAATCATGTAGGCTTTTTCATTTTCATATGTCTTGGTTCATAAGTTTTTGTCTATATTCTCATTTAAAGCTATGCTCTCCCCTGAATATATGCTTGAATGTAGAACCATTTAACCAAAACCTGTGTTTTTTACCAGTGTAACCCTACTGTACTATAGGAGGGGCTGTGGGAGCATGTAGTTTTACCCATGTTCATCCTGTTGTGAATCAACATCATTTCTAAGTGATTTTAAATAAAACTTTCTACAAAAGTCAATAGAGACGATACCTCACTTGAGTCTCTGTTTCAGGTTCCAGGGTAAAGATTACCATTTATTGATATCTATAGAAAACCTCCAACCATTTCATAGCTATTGTGTTGACACTTCAAGCATGGAAGTGTTGGCACTCATGTACCACCATCATTTTCTGATTAATTTGATTGTCACTAAAAGTATCAGATGACTAGGTTGATGACCATTAGGTGTTTAATTATAACCTGATATTTTGAGAATTAGGGATGGCAACTTCAATACTTGTCAGGTTGACTTCATTGTTTGCAAGTACTTCCAATTATTTGACATACATGTAACTAACGCATTAAGAATTTTTTCTAGAAATTTTATGTATTTCAGATCTAAGGCATTTAAAGGAGGCAAAACTTGGACATCTTGTCAAATTTTTATAATTCTTGTTTACGATAAAAATTCCATAACGTTGGAAAAGAGTGACAGGCATATTTTGTGTAAATAGTGATACCATTGTTTTGTAGTGCTGACTCTCCCGTGTTGTGGTTGAGAATTGACCCAGACATGCACCTACTTAGTCAGGTAACCTGGGAACAGCCAGACTTTATGTGGCAGTACCAGTTGAAGTTTGAGCGAGATGTGGTCGCACAGAAAGAGGTAAGGAAAGTATCTGTCTTGTCAGAATTCATTTTAGAAGTCGAGTACAGATGTCTCTCACATAAAATGTCTCCTGGAAGTAAAGCCGGGGCTGTTATGTTAAACCTTAAACATTGGTGCAAGAAAGACTTCCAAGTGTTTTTGTTGCTTTTAAGCACAAGTCTGGTGTATTTCTTTATCATTGCTTTAAAAAATGCTGATACTTAAAGAACGTAAAAATGATGCATTAATTCCTTACATTACTTAACAGGAAACTGAAAAACAACAATCTGGATTGGAAAAAAATAAAAATAAATAAATAAAAAAAAAGATAAAAAAAAAACCTGGATTGAGTTAATGGATTTTATTTTGTATATCTTAGGCTATTGTTGCATTAGAGAACTACCCAACAGCTGCTACTAGGAAAGCTTTGACAGACACATTAGAGAATGAGCACTGTTTCTACCGGGTTCGCATGGAGGCCTGTCTCTGTCTGTCAAAGGTGAGTATTCCACACTGGAGAATGAGCACTATTTCTTCTGTGTTCGCAAGGAAGCCTGTCTCTGTCAGATAACATGTGATAATGGAATTAATGTCATTTGCTACCATTTGAAATGTTAAATAAATGTATAAAGATTGTTTGTCGTCTGAAGTTTTTTGTTATTACAGGTAGCCAATTCAATGGTCAATAACTGGGTGGGACCTCCTGCGATGATCACTATCTTCCGTAAACTGTTCGGGTCACATTCCTGTCCGAACATCGTCAGACAAAACAACTTTTCCAAGCTACAGCATTACTATCTTCTAAAGGTAGGAACTCAATCTGTATTGTAATTAATATTAAATTGAATAATAAAATACTGGCAGCTTATATTAATTTTCTAGTTGTGGCAATTTTCAAAATTTAGAAAAAAAAGGGCCCAACAATTTTTTGTGATATCTGAAACACCTTGCTCTAAATTCTGTATTTATGTATTTTGTGATATTTTTACCATTGTAGACCATCCCTTTTGCCATGGCCCACCTCCGGAGTATCCAAGCCATCTGTCCCCAGGAAGTTCTCCGCTTTATTCTGGAACTTTTCAAATACAACGATAATAGCAAAAACAAAGTATGTTATTGTTTTTTTTTGACCAGCTTTTCACCAGTCCTTAATATGTATACCTGAACAGGCTTGTACATCAGTCCCTCATAATTAATCATTATGTACTGATATTTCAGTCTATTAATATAGTGTAATTGTACAGACTCATAAGTCACTCTAGTAAACATAAACACATATATTATACACAGTATACTCAGTTAGGAGTGTTTTATTTATATACAATGTTAATTTCCAGGTATACTGTATCGATTCTTTACAATTAAGCATGTCATGATGTCAACAGAAATGTATAGGTATATTAATGTGTTGTAGTACTCTGACAACTACTACAGAGCTGCTCTGTTGGATTCTCTAGCAGCCACTCTGACTCCTGCTGTCACTATCATCACTGGTCTTGGGTAAGTTGTCAATCATTTTACACTAGCTTAAATTCAAATATAGACTGAATGTCAGAGAAAGAGGCTCAATTCTTGGACACTGTGCTGTAGAAAGCCAATTTTCTTATGGAAAACATGAAACATCCACTGTAATGATGTTACTAATCCATTTCATTCGCAACAGGTTCGGGATAAGTTGATTTTTATTCGTGTGAAATGTCTACCGGTTTCGCCCGAACAGTGGGCTTCTTCAGGACAGAGTATAAACAATTTTTTACCCCTAAGGTACTGAAAATCGGGAGAAAGTTTTCATTGTTATTTATGACGTCTTACAATAGACATCACATGATCATAAAGTAACGGTTAAAATTCTATGATATTCCTTCACGGTTACTGTTATCATTTTTAGTTTAATTTTCGGAATTAACAGTGAAAAAAATTTTTAAAGTTCATATGCGATAGTTTCTAATATGGTGGTACAAGATATAAACATATGTATATTGCATAGTCATTCTTCTGATCTTAATAGACTAGTCATCATAGACTCGTTCATCTAGGCACACCGTCGACGTAGACTCCGACTGGTAACCTAACCTCCGGTAATCGACCGTAGACGATATGTTAGAGTTTGACGCTGTATCATCACTATCAGATAATTCCAAGTCTTTCTTTAGTTCTTCTAGTGCTAAATCCAAAACCGGTCGATAGTTTTTATGGGCTGGTCCGACTGTGTCGTATGGGCCCTCCGCTGGTTTCAATCTGAATTTCACTTGTTGTAGTTGTTTCTTTGTCAGCACCTCGAACGGGCTCTTATCCTCCGGTTTAGTTGCGTTCATTCTGGTGTCATCCTGGAAAATTTCAGGTTCCACTTGGTATCCTGGGTGTTTTTTCTTTAAATGTTCTTTGTACGCCCCTTTCCTTCCATAAGTATGTTTACAAATTTTGCATCGGTGCCATGTTTTCAGCATGGTGTGTACTTTATCTGCATGTCTTCTCAGGTTTTCTAAACTTGAGTACGTTTTGCCGCATTTTATGCACAGTATTCTCGGCTTTACTTGCGTCTTTTGATCTGTTGCCTGTTTCCTTGGTGTTTGTTTCGTACGCGCCATCACGATATAATATTAAGACCTTCTGGCTGCGTTGTTCTCAATATCCTGATCCAACTCTCTTCAATTCTCAGGCGACGGTTGTTATCACTGACGTTCGATAACAGACCGGTGACTATGACGTCACTGGTACTGTGACCTGGCGACGTGAAATGTCCCGCCACCGGCTTGTCTGGGTGTTTGTTAATGATGCTATACAGATGATTGCGGATGCGTGTATTTATCGTCGTCGATGTTTGTCCGACATACTGCATACCGCATTTTTTACATGATATTAGGTACACCGCGTTCACACTTTGGCATGTGATCTGTCCCTGTACTTTATATTCTGATCTGGTAGTGTGACTTGTGAAGTGGATAGTGGGTTTCATATGCGCACATATTCTGCAGTTTTTTCCGCACGGACAACTGCCCGGTCGGATAGAGTCACAACCGTCGCCTGAGAATTGAAGAGAGTTGGATCAGGATATTGAGAACAATGCAGTCAGAAGGTCTTAATATTATATCGTGATGGCGCGTACGAAACAAACACCAAGGAAACAGGCAACAGATCAAAAGACGCAAGTAAAGCCGAGAATACCGTGCATAAAATGCGGCAAAACGTACTCAAGTTTAGGAAACCTGAGAAGACATGCAGATAAAGTACACACCATGCTGAAAACATGGCACCGATGCAAAATTTGTAAACATACTTATGGAAGGAAAGGGGCGTACAAAGAACATTTAAAGAAAAAACACCCAGGATACCAAGTGGAGCCTGAAATTTTCCAGGATAACACCAGAATGAAACGCAACTAAACCGGAGGATAAGCGCCCGTTCGAGGTGCTGACAAAGAAACAACTACAACAAGTGAAATTCAGATTGAAACCAGCGGAGGGCCCATACGACACAGTCGGACCAGCCCATAAAAACTATCGACCGGTTTTGGATTTAGCACTAGAAGAACTAAAGAAAGACTTGGAATTATCTGATAGTGATGATACAGCGTCAAACTCTAACATATCGTCTACGGTCGATTACCGGAGGTTAGGTTACCAGTCGGAGTCTACGTCGACGGTGTGCCTAGATGAATGAGTCTATGATGACTAGTCTATTAAGATCAGAAGAATGACTATGCAATATACATATGTTTATATCTTGTACCACCATATTAGAAACTATCGCATATGAACTTTAAAAATTTTTTTCACTGTTAATTCCGAAAATTAAACTAAAAATGATAACAGTAACCGTGAAGGAATATCATAGAATTTTAACCGTTACTTTATGATCATGTGATGTCTATTGTAAGACGTCATAAATAACAATGAAAACTTTCTCCCGATTTTCAGTACCTTAGGGGTAAAAAATTGTTTATACTCTGTCCTGAAGAAGCCCACTGTTCGGGCGAAACCGGTAGACATTTCACACGAATAAAAATCAACTTATCCCGAACCTGTTGCGATTGACTTATATACTTTGGTTTCCCCTATTCCTTCAATCGCCCTGCATACCGGGTGGTATCCGGGCAAGGGATATAAAGAACCAACGGAACCTTAATAAAAGTCAAGGCGTTGGCTCTACCCCTGGATTTACGTAATCCATTTCATTGTTATGTCAGGATGCTAGCACACCCTACATCAGTACACTAATGATATTAAGAGAACATGCTATTTATTAGCCCACCATCCTCGAATGGTTTGCTGTATAAATCACCTTTTGTCTGTAGCTATGGTTTGGCTTTCCTTAAAAAATTGTTGTCATTGATATTTCTTCAGAAGTGCTGGATGTATCATTTACAAATTTCATATGTAAGTTTCTCTTGGTCCCTAATTGTTTGTTTTCCTATTTTAGTCTGCCATGTCACACGAGGTGGGCTGATCAGATAAGTTATTGTGAGTGGTCAGTGGTCCATAAGCAGTTCTTGTTATCGCTACTCCCTAGAAACATTCCTTGGGATTTTTTTCTGAACTGTCAGTATATATGTCCCTTGGTCCCTAATTAGTCGTGATTTTCTGATATATCTGATTTCAAGATGGCCACCAGTAGTCATATTGGGATTTAGCAGGAAAGTTTGATATTTTTCCTTTTCCAAAACTATCAAAGGTGATTAGTGTCCATCTTTTAATTGCTGTGTTGATGTTGAACTTATTTTTCAGACGAGCATATCTAGTGTTGATGATGGTTCTACTGTTTGCTTTGTTCCCATCTGGAAATGTGACATTACTTACTGATATTTACATGACAGATGTCGTCCATGAAGACATTTTGCAGGAAAACCTGTAGGTCTTTTCCTCCTTGTACCATTTGAGGGGTCTCTATAGAAATCTTTCCTTTGTTCATATTTTACCCTAGTTTCATAAAATTTGAGTTTGACTTAGGATTCTTTCGACATGTTGGTATTGTGTGTGTTATCATGAAATACTGGAGTAATATTTATGTAGATTTCTGTTTGTGTCTTATTGTCCTCGGTCAGTGTTCAGAGTAAATAATTAGACAGATGACAAAAGAAGAGAAGAGATCAACTTAACATAGACTTGATACAGAACTTATGCTGGTGGATGCCCAGATCTCTCTGGGATCTTTTGTGTGTAATAAGGAAAGAATTTCAATGGACAATCTGTCATAGAAATTTTACCATGCGTTAATTCTACAGTGAGGGTCCATCGATGGACAGCCTGACAACAGAGACGAAGCAGATCCTCGAGGAGATCACACGCTGCCTTAACCTCGACAAATTACTGCCATGTTACCATCACACTGTGACTGTCAGGTGAGGCAATTTACTTTCACACTGTGACTGTTAGGCAAGACAAATTACCATCACATCGACCCACTTGAAGAAATTTTTTAAAATCCTTTTTCTGTAGGAATTGCAGGATTATGTCTTGATTTGGTCTGAAGCATCCTTGGGTGAGGGAGACTTTTGTATAAATGGATTTGCTGACCCCATTTGGGCAGAGGGGTGGGGGGCTAAAGGGGAAATCAATATAAATCTTAAGAATTCCTTTTGTACAATTAAAGTGAAATATATGCTGTAGTCGTATTTCACTGTCCTTAATTTGTCCCATAATGAGTCCCATAGTCTCCATGTCGGTCAATATCTTATGCCATTAAGAATATGTTTTCTAATTTTGCACATGCATTCCTAATGACATTTAACTCAATTGTACCACATTTGTTCATCAACACCTTCAGTATTGCAAAATATTTTAAATTGCATGTCCTCACATTTGTTTTGCTTTCATGAATGGCCTCCCATGTTGGACATAGTGTTTTTCTAACACATGTTAAATTTATGTTATTACTTCAGCTGTCTTAAGGCAATCAGGATTTTACAGAAGTTTGGCCATTTGCCAAGTGATGTATCATTGTTTAAGAGCTACATGCAGTATGGTGTGTTCAGGAATGTAAGGATTGCTGCTGTTGAGGCTGTGGTAGACTACATCAAAAGTAGGTGAAATATTCTCAATTATTAAATTCTGTTGAGGCTGTGGTAGACTGTATCAAGAGTAGGTGAAATATTCTCAATTATTAAATTCTGTTGAGGCTGTGGTAGATTACATCTAAAGTAGGTGGAATATTCTCAGCTGTTTAAAACTGTTGCGGCTGTGGTAGACTACATCAAACGTAGATGAAATATTCTTAACTATTAAACTCTGTTGAGACGTTGATAGATTACATCAAGAGTAGGTGAAAGATTCTAAACTGTTAAACTCAGTTGAGGCTGTGGTAGATTACATCTAAAGTAGAAAGTTTTTATCTCACAAGTCAATTTAACTCTGTAACATAATAGAACTTTTATCACAAACAACTTACTATAGAGATTCATCTATTGTAACTGGTGGTGGTGTTTTACACTGTTTTCTGGCATCATCATGAAACAATTTCACTATGTTTATTTATTTTCAGCTGATTGTAAACCTGAAGAACTACACTATCTGGTTGATGTTATAGAGAAAGATCCAGATACTTACTTCAGGTATAAATACTTTATTGTATAATCTCATAATTTTGTGGTTGTGCAAAAATGTGCACTTTTGTCGGCTCTTAATTTCGTGGATAAATCCACAAATACTATAATCCTTGTCTAGTTTTATCAGTTCATCATTTTGTAAACATTTAAATTCATGGATTAACAGTAACTATGAATTCAGCAAAAATAAAACCACCACAAAAAATAATGTTCTTACAGTATACTGTAGTCTGAATAGGAAATGGATAGCGTCACACATGTCTTATGTATGAATAGAGAGCAATGATATTATATAAAGAAATTAAGTTTTTTGTAAGGTAAATTTTTCAGAAACTATTTAAGAATAAATTTGTGCTTAGGTAGGGGTGTTTGGTAATATGCTGACATTATGACTGTAGTACTGTGTGCATTCAAACATGAGCTTTAGACCACTTTACCATATATGGGTTTAAAACACAAGGTTGCAGAGGATGTCTGTTAAGTTAATTCATACCTTGGTTTTCCCTTATAGGTTAGCCTCCAGCATCTGAAACAAGTTTCATTTTTTAAGTGACATGACAGTAAAAGTTATTGTCATTTGTTGATCTTGTAAACAACAGTAAGTAAAGGTTGAAAGCTATGTATTCTACTTCTTTCTCCTTTCATGTATTCAGACACGTTGTCATCAGAAAACTGGTACAGAACCCACCCTTCAAGCGCGGTGAGCACAGCCATCTACATACACAGGCCTTGGTGGAACGGCTTTGGAAACTCATGAAGTAAGTGTAACAACATGGGTTATTGTTATTGGGAGAGGGGACAGGAGACCATAAATACCTACCCATATCAATTTCATGGCATCTTGTCTGTAACTGATGACATTCTGCTAGGTTCTTCATTTCTTTGGTGAATTAAGTGAAGTCGACAAAAGATCACTGAAATACATTAGAAGTTAACTTTTCAGGGTTTTAATTAGCTCCATATGACCATTAACAGAAATTCATTGACTTATTTGTGTGGGAGTGAGGGCGTTCCAATCTGAAATTCTGATGATTGTCACAAAGATGTGTTTTAGTATTCAATGTAATTATTCTGTCTTAAACATCTTACAATGTGTCCTAGTCCAGCTGTGTTTAGTAGATATTGGTACTGTGTATTCTGTCGAAGATGAATGTAGATATAAACAGTCTACCTACCTATCTAATTAAAGTGTAAGGCATTAACAAGATTTATCTTTGTTCTGGTTTACAATGCGATGAAATAGATGTGTTGATATGGTTTTGAATCAGTTGAAGATCACTTGTTAAGAAAGTATATAGGACAAGAATGTTACAGTTAAAAGGAGGAATTTGATGTGTTTAGAAATAGATTTGGTATCCCATTTTGTTTCTTTTCCAGCATCACATTTTCCCATGATAGTCGTTTGAGGTGTGACATTGCTGACCTCTACTTCACCTTGTATGGCCGCACACGCCCCACGTGTCTGGGGATTCCTGAGGTAAGTCACAAAACACAATTATAGAAGTGACCTCTACTTCACCTTGTATGGCCGCACACGCCCCACGTGTCTGGGGATTCCTGAGGTAAGTCACAAAACACAGTTATAGAAGTGACCTCTACTTCACCTTGTATGACTGTACATGTTCCATCTGTCTGTGGATTCCTGAGGTAAGTCACAGAACACAATTGTAGAAGTGACCTCTACTTCACCTTGTATGACTGTACATGCCCCACATGTCTGAGGTAAGTCACTTAACACTGTTATATTTTAACCTGTAGAGTTTGTCAAGAATTTCATCCAGAATCAATGTATCACTCTAGGGATTTTATTTCTTAACTGTGTTTTCCAATAATGAAAAAAATTATTGATTTAACCCATTGATTTTAATGGAATTTGAAAAGAAAATAAAGAAAAAAAATGTTAATTAACATATATAATGTTTTATGATACTTGAAAGTAAAATTATTCAAGTTTTCAAAATTTATATATTTGACTATTAAGTGTATATTGATAAATATAATATTTGATTTAAATGTTTGTAAAAGTGTAACTAGATGTTTCTTATTCTGTGAAAATCTAACCCGAAGGGTCTGATTATGCTTCGTCCGTCGTCGTCCGCCGTGCGCCGTGCGTCGTTGCGCCGTGCGCCGTGCGCCGTCCGTAAACTTTTCATTCAAACGACTTCTTCTCAAATACTACTTGGCACAGAGGATACTGGCATGGAGCTCTACCAAGTTTGTTCAAATGAATGACCTTGACCCACTTTAAAGGTCACAGGGGTCAAATATGTTAAAATCTTTAAACAACTTCTTCTCATTAACCAAAAGGCTCAGAGTGTAGATATATATTTGTTCAAATGAATGACCCACTTTAATGTTAAAATCTTTAAACAACTTCTTCTCAATAACCAAAAGGCTCAGATTGCTAAATGGGATAATTAAATGAATGACCTTGAAAACTTTCAAGGTTCAAATATGTCAAAATCTTTAAATAACTTCTTCTCACATACTAGAAGGCCTAGGGTGCTAATACTTGGCCCATAGCATGCTGGCATGGAGCCCTACAAAGTTTGTTCAAATGAATGACCTTGGCCCACTTTATCAAAATGTTAAAATATACAAAGGACTTCATCTCAATAAGCAAAAGTTTAGTATATTTTGTAGCATGCTATTATTTAAATGAATGAGAACAACTTTGTATCAAATTGATAAAGGCCTATATACTTATAGCATGCTGGCATGGAGCCCTACAAATTTGAATGACCTTGGCCCACTTTAAAGGTCACAGGGGTCAAATATGTTAAAATATACAAAGGACTTCATCTCAATAAGCAAAAGTCTATGAGTGCCGATATGTCTGTAGCATTAGGCTACCAAATTTGTCAAGGTCACAGGGGTCAAATATGTTAAAATATACAAACGACTTCTTCTCAACAAGCAAAAGTCCATGAGTGCTGATATTGGGCCTGTAAGATGCTTGGAGGAGAGGCTTCCAAGTTTGTTCAAATGAATGACCTCAACCACTTTCTAGGTTTGGCTTGCTTTTTGTCAGATGACCGTTAAGGCCCATGGGCCTCTTGTTATATAAACATGTTTAATTTTGACATCTATTCCTCCTGGCATGGTCATACTTGTCTTAGGAATTAGGTTAAAAAATGTTTATAATTGTGTTGTTAATGATATAAATTCAGTATTTTTCAAGTTGATGTTTTTTTAATTTGTAGAAGAATTGTAAAAATTACTGAAGTATTTGGGTGAAGTGCAAGATATTGTATTATAATAATAAATAATAATATACAACATTTACATAGCGCACTATCTATTTTGACAAAATACTCTAATGCGCTTCACAATTACATAATAATCTTACTACAAAATTTACAGAACATGTATAACACAGTAATCAACATATGTAACACAGTAACCAAATCAAGTAAGTAGTGGTGAAAGTATGTATATACAGGACGTCTGCGTGAGAGTCTAAAATGCAGACGTAAACAGGTGGGTTTTAATATCCCTCTTGAATTTGGCCAGGGATTTTGACTTTCTAGTAGCAGATGGTAAGCTGTTCCACAAAGTGGCCACTACCTTTCCAAAGCATCGGTTACCATAAGTCACAGTCCGAGAGTTCGTATAGCACAACAAGGATTCTGTCTCCGATCGTAGTGATCGTGACGGCCGATAAACGGTGACAAGTTCCTGCAAATATTCAGGAGCTGTTCCATTTATTGCCTTGTATGTATACATCAAAATCTCGCACGGGCAGCCAATGCAATAAGTAAAGGACTGGTGTAATGTGGTCCCTCTTTCGAGTACGGGTAATTAGGCGTGCTGCGGTGTTCTGTACCCTCTGCAGGCGGCTCATAAGTGTATCAGATACACCAACGAGTAACGCGTTACCATAGTCTAACCTAGAAGTAACAAGAGAATGTACCAATGTCTTGCATACATCTGTGGTGATGAACTGACGGATACCCCCAATGTTTCTGATTTGGTGATAATTGATATTGAATTTTTTATCATTTTGTATATGGAACCATGTCTATCCTGCGAAAATCTAATTGTATAGGAGATGGGCTTATTATGTGGCGATATTGTAGTCTTTGTTAGCATTTCAACTGAAGCAAAATACCAGGCCTAATATCAGAAAAGGAGATATTACCAAAATTGAATGGCCTTTCAGCAGATAATTACCAAAACAATACAAAACATCTTTATATTTGATTCACAGAAACTTCGTTTTGTTTCAGAGTCTGGTTGTGTTCAATCTCAAAGAGAAGAAGGCAAAATTCAATCCCTCTGTGGTACCAGTGGAAATGGAGGTCAGTGATTAAACTCTTCATCACGACATAAAGCAATGATATGATGGAAAGTTAAACAATGTATTAACCTTCTACAGTCATGGCTGAACAGACCTTTCACATGCCTTGCATCATTTGGTTAGAAAATAAAAATCTTAATCTCACTGCCAGTAATTCAGTTCTCCTCAAAACTATGTCTTGAAAAAAGGAAGAAAGAGCCGAAACTCTGTATGTATTACAGACAGAATTTGTCTACATTTCCTAAATACATAAACAAATAGAAGAGTTACTGTCAGAATTTCTGTCTTGCCTAGATAACTATTTATTATGTATTTGATGAAAAGAAGAATTGACAAACAGTTATTCTCAGATAAAATATTGTTGCTGTCCTGTCAGCATTTTATCCAACTAGACATCACACCAATCAAAGGTTAGAATGCTATATTTGTGAATATTGAACCTTTTTCCTACACTATTTGATAGCAGATGACCGAATATTCATAGATTAAGAATTACGTTGCATAAAAAGGCCACAATTTCACCTCTCAGGCAATGTTTGAAGATGAAGAGGAAGTAGATGATGTGGAAACAGAAAATGTAGCCATGGAGGTTGAAGAAGGCGAAATTCTGGACCCAACAGAAGTATCAGTTTCTGTCCCTGTAGAGACAGATGTACCACATGGACAGAAACGGCCAGCAGAGTCGCCCCTGGACCTGGGACCTGCGACCTCATTGGAATTGAATCCCACCCTTGAGTCCTCCATCGTGGAGAGCAACACTGAGGCAGGCCAGAGCGAAGACAGCAACACTTCCTTTAAACTCAAAATCAAGGTCAGCTGCACGTTACATTTTCTCTGTAAATAATTTCGTTTTATGAATGGAATGGCAAGTGGTTGACCATTATAAGGTGGAGGTGCTGTCAATGCTTTCTGTTATCCATTACAAAAACAATCATGCATGTATTAATTAAGCAGTAAATTGTCATTAATTTGATTGATAGATAATTGATTATGGTAAATTTTGCATTATGCATGTTTTTGAATGTAAGAATGTTTCAGCGTCAGTTATTAGTTGCCTGTCTATATTAATGAAGATTTTCCCATATTCATTTTCAGAGATGTTATAAAAGATATAATTCCTTTGCACTGAATGATTTGCCTGGCATGACACTGGTACCAATTGGCATGTTGTTGTTGCAGCCTAATTGTCATCTTAATGTTGTGTTGGTTGATTGTTTGTGGTTTGCTAACAGATTGGTGGTGCATCAGCGGATAGTACCCCTTCCTTCCTACCCTCAGTGAGGGAGGAGATCCGTCCACAGCTACCTCCCACGCCATCCTCAGCTCCAGTCTCTGCATTTTCTTCTGAGTTCTTCAAGGTTGTTGGGGTACAGCATGTCTTTATGAGCTTAAGCTTACATTAGATTCAGTCGCGGCATTTAGTTTGATCTGCAGGCAATAACAGGAATAGTTAATGCACATAAGCTAGTAGGAGAAGCAAATGTGGTTTGTACAAGTCATGGTCACACCAGTAAGGAGAAACAGCAATTGTTTATTGTAAAGATATAACCTGCGATCACACATGTTAGAAGAAACAGCTATGGTTTTGTGTAAAGATAATGCATGGGTCACACATGTTAGAAGAAACAGCTATGGTTTTGTGTTAAGATAATTCATAGGTCACACATTTTGGGAGAAACAGCTTTGGTTTTGTGTAAAGATAATGCATGGGTCAAATATGTTAGAAGAAACAGCTATGGTTTTGTGTTAAGATAATTCATGGGTCACACATGTTGGGAGAAACAGCTATGGTTTTGTTTAAAGATAGCTCATGGGTCACATATGTTAGAAGAAACAGCTATGGTTTTGTGTTAAGATAATTCATGGGTCACACATGTTGGGAGAAACAGCTATGGTTTTGTTTAAAGATAACTCTTGGGTCAAATATGTTAGAAGAAACAGCTATGGTTTTGTGTTAAGATAACTCATGGGTCACACGTCTTTTGGTGTTAAAATAGAATTTATGGGTAACACACATTATGGGAAATAACAATGGTTTGATGTAAAGATAATAGCAGTAGCTGTAATGTCACAGTCTAGATAAAACACATGATGTGGTGTATCAGTAGCAATGTATGTCAGTTTTTTATTAGGTCACCTGAAATGAAATTTCAAGTGTCCTATTGCGGTCACTTTTTGTGCGGCGTTGTCTGTCCTCCATCATAAACAATGTACATTTACATTTTTCTCAATAACCAAAAGGCCAAGGGTCATGGGATTGGGCCAGTAGCAAGCTGGGATGAAGGGCTGCCATGTCTGTTCTAATGAATGACCTTAACCTATTTTGAAGATCACAGGGGTCAAATGTGTAAAATCTTTTGACTGCTTCGTCTCAATAAACAAATGGTCCAGGGTCATGATATTGGACCAGTAGCATACTGAGATAAATGGTTATCACGCTTGTTCGAATAAATTACCTTGACCTTCTGTCAAAGGGTCACAGAGGTCAAATATGCTAAACTACATCAACAGACAGAGGTATCAATTCCGTTTAATTTAAAATTAAGCCATCAAACTTAGAAATATATAAAATTTTTGTAAGTATGAATATATCAGTTCTGTTCTGTCTGACCATATGCTGGGGCTTGTGGACAGGTTCTGAAACTGTCCAAAGACCTGAAGACCTCAGGTGACTGTTAAGGCCCATGGGCCTCTTGTTGTCATTCATTTTGCAGTGAATAGATAAAATACCTAACACCAGATATGCTTGAAGTTAACCTTACAATCTAACTTCAATATTTCTACAAATTTAGATTTTTTTAAGTTGTCTGTGATGTCAACTTTGATTTGTCATAAAAATTCAGTTTTGGTTGAGATTCTTAATTACTAATAACTAATTGACTAACACATTTAATGTTTTGCATGTTTTTTATGTAGCTGATGTGTTAATATATATCATGGTTAGAAAATTAATGTGTAGTGTGATCATTGTGGACATTCGAATACATCACCTTTCCTAATGTATTTTTTGTATGAAATTCCAATTAATTCAAATAGATTCATTGCTTCTTATTTAAATAATGAATGATACATTTTTTTATTTTGAAGAAATCATTGTAGAAGATTTTATTACATGATAAAGTAATAAAGGAGACCATGATTTCAGGTTTAGTTTTTCATTTTTTTACGAAATTAATTTAAGAATGAAATCTGTATGTTAAATATGCATCGTAGTTTGTTTGAAATGACAGAAGTAATTATTCTATTTTTAAAAGATGAAGGCAGAGGAGGACTCTGTCTCGAAGGTATCTGTCCAGTCCATTCCTGCTCCACAAACAGGAGGCTCTGTTTCCATGGATACCATTGGTAGACTGAGTGAAGATTCATTGTCTCCCATACACTACAGTACTGGTATGTCTACAAAATCACTACTTAAAATTATTTTATCAGGTGAATGTTTTGTCAAAAGCAGTGAGTGCACTTTTGATATTTTAAGATTCTGAGCTTCCCTATGATAAATCAGTTAATGTATTTTATGAAACTATTGAATATACAAGCAGTATTTCAGTGATTGTACACATATCAAAGCTGTATAATTGTCTACAATTATGGATAATTTTCAGAGACAAAAGGAGGCAGCAAACCACCGATGTCCTTTGCAGGGTTGTTGCCTGGATCTCAGACATCAGGAGGTGAAACGTCGATACAGACAAATCCAGACGATCCATCTTCTAGCAAATCACACAAGGCAAAGAAAAAGAAGAAAAAAAATAAACACAAACATAAACATAAACACAAACACGATAAATCAGAACGTGATCGCGAGTCATCAGAACGGCCCAAGGACGCTGCAGGACATTACAGCTCGGAGACAAGTACTATTAACTCACCAATAGTGAAACTAGACCCTCCAAGTTCACCCGAGTTTGAGATTATATAAGGCACTATGGTTACAGGAGAATTTATCCTCTGCCACTAAAAGTGTTAGTGATTAAACTCATTTATATAAGTTAACTACAGTGTACTAATGTCAGTGTGTGGAGAATGTCTCGAGTCGGTCAACTCCTGAAAGAACACAGTAGTCATTGTGTGTGTAAGAGTGAAGAGATGTCAGAAAGTGTTCCATTGATGTGCTAGTCACTTTCTAAATGATGAAAAAGTGTAAGTATTTTGAATACTTAAAAGAGGGAGGTAAATTGTTTTCTTAACTATCATACATCTTGAACAATTTGTATGTTTCAGTCTACACTACTGTAAATGTGTATACTTTATCATCTTCTGTGTATCTGCTTGGTATCGTGATGAGTATGTGATTGATTTTAAAATCAGGAGTATTCAAATTAAACTAATACAAGAAATATTAAGATCATGTCTCAGTTTTCTTTTCATGGTGTTTTACCTGAGGGCTTTTCCAGTAAAACATGACCCCAGGACATGTTTTACAAAAATCATTAACTTCTATCCATGGTTCTGTTACTGTCCTTTACTTCTAACCAGTTTATTTAAATTCTATGAGTGTTATCCAAAAAACCTGGCTTCCTGGAATGGGATAGATGATTTACTGGAATATCCCGAAGAAATTAAATTAATAAGATTTTTTTAATAATACCCCGAAACAACACCTGGAGTCTTCTGGTGGGAAAGGTGTTTTACTGTGATGTCCCTAAACAGAACCTGGAGTCTTTTGGTGGGAAAGGTGTTTTACAGGAATATCTCTAAACAACACCTGGAGTCTTTTGGTGGGATAGATGTTTTAATGAAACAACCTTAAACAACACCTGGAGTCTTTTGGTGGGAAAGGTATTTTACTGGAATTTCCCTAAACAACACCTGGAGTCTTCTGGTGGGAAAGGTGTTTTACTGGAATTTCCCTAAACAACACCTGGTGTCTAGCACTAAAGCATGCGTCAGCTATTTACCTGTGCATTTAAGACTTTTGCCAATGAGATCTGCTTTCGCTTTCTGTTTTTCCTTGATATATTCTAGAATTTGTCATTTGCAAGACTTTGCCAAGCTGAAAACTCTGTCACCACATGAACAAGAACATAGGGAGATAAGCATGGTGATAAGTACACACTTGTTCCCATCAACACGTTTACATTAAGTGAATTGTTTTCACTACTTCATCAGTGGCATGGCTATTTACTAAGGGTAGTTGAACCAACAGAGGTGTGACTTATGGCTTAAGGAGTCCACATCAAGTAGCCATATATCGACAGGAGGGCACCAGTGACGTCCATCAGCCTCGTTCAGGGGACTACACCAGTATTACGACATACACCACAGGAGATTTCACAGAGTTCATTTGGCCCTATAGTATCAAGATGGTCCATATTACTTGCCATAGATGAACATCATTAATAACGCATGAAAGTGTTTTGCTAACCTCTTTATCAACAATTCGTAATTTTGGGTTATGTACAGAGAATGCAAGTATAATTCCTACAAGTAATTTAATTGTTTAATAGTTTATACTCCATTGTTTAGTGTATCAAAACTAATTTTAGATAAATGGATGTACACTCAAATCAGGACAAAAACAGAAATTTGGATCTGTGTTTAGGGTGTTGAGGATGAAGTATGTTGGATTTTAAGAAATATAATCAGACTAATTTGAAATTTGGTAGACACCATTTTATCATGAATATATTTGAAATACATGATGTATAAAGATTTTTTTTTTTTAATTTTCTGTGTCATTTTGGTAGTCAGTTTAAGTGACAGGGTCAGGATGGCTGTGGAATTCTTGTTTCCTTTGCGAAATAGGTATTGGAAGCATAAAACAGAGGAAAAAAAAAATTTCAAACTTTTAAAGTTTATTTCAATTCATAAATTCAATTAAACTGTGTACATACAAAATAACTTCCAAATAAGCAGTGTAATTTTTTCTTAAAAGAAAACAAAAATAAATAGACTGCCATGTAATCATGACTAGACTTAATTTTCTGTTTAAAATTTCCTATTAAATCAAAACCTGATGGAACAAAATTGGAGCAGCCTGATGATTCAGTTTTCAGTATGCTTTACCTCGAACATGCAAACTGAACTCTGCTCTTTCAGTGACAAAATATAAAGCTGACAGTTCAAGTTAAATCAGTGACCACTATTGAAATCATCGAAGAATCAGCATACTTAGAAATACCGCTAGTGTTTGTATCCAATATTTGGAAAATGAAAAAGTGGTAACTAGTAAGTGTATTGGGTAATTACATATTCTTGAACTGGCCTGGAAATAATACTGTTGGATTATTGAGAAAATCTTGTGTATAAATACGTCACCCTATGGAAATGAATGGAGGGGATAACAAGCTTGACTGATAAATGTATTTACCACAAGAGGCCAGTGTTTGTCACAGGGCATAAGATAAGTTATTTAAGCTTTCTTCCGACACTACGAGTAGCAAAGGATTTTCATCTCATTGCTACAGGAGTGTCTCTTAAACCTGAAAGGTTGAAATCAAGTTTTCTAACTTGAACTGTCTGCTTCAACCTGATTAAGTATAACATATTCAAACAACACTATTGCTCAGCTGTATTTATAAACTCTCTCTCATAACACTTTCACTCCTTCAGATAACTGTTTTAACAGTTAGACTTTCCTCTTATTATGTTGTATAATAAACTTTTATTGATTTCTCCCAACAAACAAATCTTGATCATCAAAAAATATCACAGTAATTTTATACATTTCTAAGATACAACAAATTTTACATCTATCACTTCTCGTCATTTTATCCTTTGACCAAGACAAAAATCAAATACGAGAATAACCCAGGTAGTTTTACCAATAAATCCATTGCAGAATGTAAATATTGCATACAATTTCATCAAATCTCTCAAATGTTTGAATTTGTATTTAGGGGATAAAAGACATACGAAAAGCACTAGTTTGTCCAGCAAATCGCCTTGACTTCAATGAATACACTGCAAACACTCATCATGAGAGGATGATAAAATACACAAGTATTATGACTGTTATAATACCAGAATTATAATCCCCAACACAAATGTATGGACCATCTATTTACACTGAACAAACCTTATAAATGAATTTTTTTTTTTTTAACAAATTCAACACAAAAAATGTTGAAATTAAGACCGATTACATGAAGTCACTTGTGTGAAAATTAACCCTCTGGTTCATATTGAATAATTTTGCTTCATGTTGACATGGAGATAGGTAGAAATGTATCATTTCAAAACTGAGACACCAGTCAATGACCTATATAACGCACCTCGGACATAATATTTCATTGTCATGCAACTGTTACAGCTCAAGAGAATTGAAGGATGTTTTTGAGAATTCCTGGAATATCTCCACTGGTTAGTTATTCTGGTTACATTTTGTATATCACAGCTTCACTAGTCTGCAGTAAACGCTTGTAGCCCTGTGATAGCTCGGCCAAGGATCAGAGCATGGATGTCGTGGGTACCTAGTAGAACACGATATGAGATATAAATACACTGATTATAATATACATACAGGTGAAATAGGAAGCTAAGATGACAACATAGCTCAATAGATATCATTGTTTTATACAATGAATCATTTGAAGCAATCAAATTAGATTAGGGATCACACGAAATGTTTAAACAATGAATATCTCACAAGACTTTGGTGGACATAATCACATACCGAAGTCAGAAACAATTCTTCACATTTAATGTTGGATTTTCTTAATCTGCTTGGAACCCTGGCAGATTTTACCTGGCGAGTTGATGTGTTACTGAATTTAGTTCATCATAATAAACTATAACGACTTCAGTACTAATCATGTTAACAGTTCTGATGAAGATAAAACAACCCGTTTTATAAGGCTACACTTGGGAGAAAAGACAAATAGGTTGTTGATATGCTTTTGAACAAGTGTGGTCAATAAATTATAAGATCCATTCACTAACATACCCTCATATGTATTGACAGCCTCTAGGTTCATGACGTGACGGATGACATGGTACTCGTCACTGATACCATTACCTCCCAACATATCACGGGCCACTCGTGCAATGTCCAACGATTTACCACACGAATTCCTCTTTATCAATGAGATCATCTCTGGAGTTATTCTGTAAAACAGACATTATTCCATAAAAGATTTTGTATCTTAACTCATTAGACAATATGTGGTGGTTTCATAGATGTTCAATATACCCTAAAATGTATGTAGTAAATTGTGACATCGGTACAAAATTAGGACGTTTGGGATTTGATAAACACTCAACTTTTAGTGGGGAATTGAACATTGGCATTAAAACACAGCAATGCGTTATACAATGCACAGGTGATCACAGATATACTATCAAGTGTTGCACAGTTAAAATTGAGAGTCTGGAGTGATAATGAATACCACTTTATCTATATTATATTACAACAATCATGCAGTAGGTATTTAAAAAAAATTATATAAATTATCACTGCATTAACATTTAGTTTATGAGTTACTGGCGTAGGTGTTTGTAGTCTAAAAACAATAACATGCTACAGAAAATACTGTCAATAGGAGAAGTAAACCGCAGGTTTATATGTGGATCATCCGGATGACTTTAAAAAAACATGGACAGGCAAATATTAAAGGTGTGAAATCATAAATTATCTGCAATTATCAGCTATGTTGCAGCTGAACTCTAGACAGTCCAGCCAGCCTAGAAAATTTACATTCCAGGTTAATGAAATTGTACTCATTTATGTGTATTATTTTCATTGAATGCATTTTTTAATGTCTTGTCTTGTCAGAAAGATCAAGAATAGATCAAGATTGTGTACTTCAAACTCACAAATCATAGCTGCTTCTCAACATATTTGTGAACATGACCATAGTAACCTGTTAAAGGTTCTGACACTTAGGAACATTTCCTTCATGTCAACAGAATAAGAGATCTTATACCCCATCTCGTATACTATGTACGAAGATGCTAATACATTCCACACTGGTCATTTTCTGATGAAAATGACAGTGTAGTCATTTAAACATTGCACTGTACAGCAAATCAAATTCACATTAAGGAGGTCAATGTTGAGGTTCGTACCATTTATTTGAAATAATTATTACAGTGTTAGTACTAAATCTGGTCTGGTTAAGTTCACTTACAGTCCCTGGTCCTTCAGTCTGCCTGCTTGTATACATGACTGAAGACCAAGTGTGATTTCTGTTAACATGTCTGCCATTTTCTTCTGTATCAATTGATTTTTCGCAAGGGGCTTTCCAAATTGTTTTCTGAAATGCAAGAAAATACATGCTATCAATTTGTGGTCTGAAAATCTATGGTTTGCAATTGAAAATAAACTCTATTAACATTTAGTATATGTGATTTGAAAGAATACATAACTAGTAAGGTATATGTACTAGTAACATGGGATGATTGTGAAATTTTTTTTGGGTGTGTTAAATTGTATAAATTTCAAGTTTCCAGTCAACTGAAGACTGAACATCACGATATCATGAAGACCTGATGAAACACACCTGTCCAGTGTATATTGCTGTGCTGTTTCCAGGCAGAACTCTGCAGCTCCCAATGTTCCCCATGCTATCCCATATCTGGCATTGTTTAAGCACCCAAAGGGGCCCTGAAAACATCACATTTTATTCAAATTGAATTAAAATATCACAGGTACTTTCGTTTCTGAAACAATGAATAAAAAGACTTCGGTCAAATCAAAATCTTTCAATGAAGTGTCCAGACTTAAAAGCAAGATATATCCCTTGAGCATTATCTTAATTCCAATCCACAACAGTTTTGAACTTAAATTCAGTCTGTCTTTTACTGAATTAAATGTAAATGGTTACACTGCTTTGCAATCTAGAATAAGACTATATTTACCCCAAGACCTGACACATTAGGAAGCATATTCTCCTCTGGTACTTCTACATCATCCATGGCGATCTGCCCAGTAATACTGGCACGCAGTGAGAACTTGCCCTCAATAACAGGTGCTGTTAAACCCTTCATACCCTTCTCCAAAATAAAGCCTCGGATCCTGTTATTGTCTTTATCACACTTGCCCCAGATAATGAAGACATCAGCAATAGGAGAATTGGTAATCCTACAAAGAAATGGTATTGATACAAGAGGCCCAAGGGGCCTTAACGGTCACCTAAAAGGCCATTCACCTACCCATTATAAATCACCAAAATCTAGACAGGACAAATATCAACTTCTTTCATAATTCACTCTTAGTAACTCGTAACCAGTTTTCTTGAATAAACAGTTGTATTAAATCAATTTATATTATGATAGCAAAGCTTTGTAAAAATGAGTTAAAACAATATCATTGTAATATGTTAGAGTATGCTATCTTTGTAAAAATGAGTTAAAACAATATCATTTTAATATGTTAGAGTATGCTATCTTTGTAAAAATGAGTTAAAACAATATCATTTTAATTGTAATAAAAATGTTAAAACAATATCATTTTTATGAGTATGCTATCTTTGTAAAAATGAGTTAAAACAATATCATTTTAATATGTTATGAGTAAAAATGTTAAAACAATATCTATCTTTGTAAAAATGAGTTAAAACAATATCATTGTAATATGTTAGAGTATGAAAGGATTACAATGAGTGTGTCATTTCAAAATCACCTACCAGGACTTGCTTCCAGACAGTCTGTACGTTTTTGTAGCAGCGTCATATTTGGCTCTGGTTTCCATGGAAGCAGGATCACTTCCATGATTTGGCTCAGTCAGACCAAAACAACCAATTAACTCTCCTTTAGCTGTAAAAGTATCAAGTTATATGAAAAAAAAATTAAATTACTTATACTCTAAAAATTTGCAGCTAGAAAAATCATCCCTTCATGTTCAGCAACCTGTGACTTGTATTCCATGTAATGTCACAAGGACTTAATTGTCTAGAGGGGACAGCCAGAACCTAATCCCAATCCTGGAAGGATATATTTATTCAACCAACATCTGAAACCTAGCTTTGTGTCACAATGGGGTGAAGGGAATTGATGTTTGTTTAAATGAATGTTTTAATCCATTTAATTTCACAGGAAATCTATAACCAAAAGGTCCATAATCTTGATATTTGGCAAAATTTGTTCAAATCAGTGACCTTAACCCAATTTTAAGGTCAAAGGCTCAGGTCAAATTTGTTTAAAAAGTTTCAGATGACTACTTTTCAATAACCAAAAGGCTCAGATATATTTGACAAATATGGTTTTCATTAACTGCTGAACAGACAAGCAATACAGGTCCATTGGATCTTTTGTTACATTTACTTGTAAGTTTTAAAGGAAATGAAATATATTGTGGTTGGCAGATTTTACCTAGTCTAGGTAAGTATTTCTGTTTCTGTTCCTCTGAACCATAAGCATAGATTGGGTGCATCACAAGGGAAGACTGGACACTCATGGCCGATCTGTAACCACTGTCTACTCTGTAACACAAAAGCTCATCTGATGATGGACCAAATACAATATCTCTTGCAGGAATCACAGCAATATTTGTTATGCTGAAAAAATCGGATAGATATTGACTGTCAATGAAAATGCATTAAACATTAGCCATACTCAAGTACATAAAATGTTTTGACCGAATGAGTGATTCGGCATTACCTCTCCAGTTCTCTGGCTATTAACCCGTAGGCTACAGAGGACACACCAGCACAACCATATCCTTGTATGGTGGGCCCAAGGACCCCAAGTTCTCCCATTTCTGGAATCATCTCTTTGTGAAAGTCTGTAAATCAAAGAACACATTTACCTTTAAATTAAGTCAATAAAATAATTTTACTGGTATAAATTTTCTGGATTATTATTATTATTTTAAAACAAAACTAACCCTGCATCGAAATATTTTCAAAATAAACTAAAATATTGACATATCAGAAAGGACACTGAATGTGTTTTAAGTTTAAACCTGCGCCTAACTGGAAGGTTACACATTGATAAATAATTAATGCTTTTATCATGTACTTAATACAAAATATATCAGACCTGTTCTAGACCTTTTTCATCATTCTGGTTCATAATGTCAGTAATAACCAGTAAAAATCATCTGACATTTGACCTTGACCTTGCTAATTATAGTAATTGTGACCTTAGCTTTTGACCTCTGAATATGAAAAGTCATTAGGAGTTAGCATTTCCTATGAAGAAACAAAGACTGTAACCATCTAAACAGAACAGTGGAACATCTAAACAGAACTGAAGATGTTATTCACAAAAGGATTTCCTATTATAATAACAGTGACTTTGACTTTTGACTTCAGGATTGGAAATAACTCCTAAACATTTTCTTCAAAGTATTGGGTAAAATTTTAGAACAAATGGTCCAACAGAATTTAAGAAATTTCCCTCCCCGAGAAAAAAAAAAACAAAAAAAAAACCAGACAGATGGACAACCTAATAAGCACAGAACACTAGCATCTTCATTGCGGGACCCTAATATGTAAAGATTTAAAAAATGTCAAATAATGCAAACCATACATTTGGCAAGTTTCATACATAAGACTAAATTGGAAGTTCATAGTTATAATAACATACATATATTTCAATCACAGCTAGACACCAATCTAAACTGTAAGGAGATTCAGCTGGATTACATCCAACATGCTTTATACAAGCATATCATAAACAGAACAAAACACATCAAAAATAGAGCATAACTCCAAAACAAATCAATCATATGAATTATTTGAAGTGTACAACTGCAGAGGATCGCTGTACCAAGCACATGGAGTAAAAAGCATTTATCCTGCCGAATTTCCAACAAAAACAAACACCCTGATGCCAATTTACCCCCAAATTTATGTTGTTGTTGTTGATTTAAACTTATCTAACTTCTAAAATGAATGTACATCAATAGCTATTGCTTGACCATAATATTACTGTACATACGCTCGTGTCTGTTGGCCATCAGTACCCTTGGCATCAGTTTTTCCTGGCAGTAGGATCTGAACTGATCTCGAACCATAATCTCCTCCTCTGTTAGTAAACTCTCCAAGTTCAAGGCATCTTTCCAATTAAAGGAAACTAAAATGATAAAAACATATTACTTGTTACATGATGTCTAATATATACCTACTTACAAATATGAAAGGACCTACAACTATCTTAATGTAAAGATATATCATACTTCTAAAATAGATTTATGGTAATTGCCAAGGACTGATGAATCAGTGTTACTAAAGGTATATTATAAATGTATTTTCTATGATAAATTATGAATGTTGTGACATAAAGGCTTTTGACAGTCATACTAGCAGTTTAACTATTCAGACCTGGTTGTACCTGGTCATTTGGTGATAACAATGACAGGTATATGTTTTTTATCTGATTGTAAACTGAAATATCTGATGAGAGAGGAGTAATCATTTTTAGTTAACCAGGGTTAGAAAAATCCACTCGTCCGCCAGACAAGTCAAAGCTACTTGCTGTGTGAGTGATTTGTTTCAGCTACTTGTCCAGCAGGCGAGTGAAATTTGTATTTCTGACTATTGAATATTCCATAATAACTGACGTTTATCAACTTAAACACTCACAAAACTAATTTAAATCCACTGATAGTCGATCAAATACATCAATATAGTAACCTTGTTTACACCACGTGTCAAGACTCAGGCTGATCCAGACTACGCGAAAACCTATTATGTCACCACAAATGTTGTAAACAAGGTTGTTTTGTGTACGTAATTACTGTCAAAAAGTCAATGTTCTCGCTCACTTAAACAGTGAATTATATATGAGTAAAACAATAAAAGCAAGTGTTAAGTTCAAACATTTGATATAGAAATTGATAATTAAATTTGTGTTCCTTAAATTATGTTTTGTTGCCTTGTTTCTTTGGGTGAGTGAATATTGGATTCGGGCAAGTGAATTTCAAGTTTCACTTGCCCGACAGACGAGTAGCTGAAAATATTTTTTTCTAGCCCTGTTAACACTCTACCTTTCTGTGATTTTTTCTGCTCTGTTGATGCAGGCTGTGCTGTACGAGAGTTAAGGAGATATACTATCTTAGAATAATGATAAAATGAATGAAACATGTAAAAGCCTTGAACAGCCATATTAAAGTTTCTGAAAGAATTTTATAGACTGGACTTTTAACATAAACTACAAAATGTGAGTGCAGCCATACCTCCAAACAACTTATCACTACACATCTAACTGATCAGTTTCCAAGCAACTTGCATATCATCTGTTTTTTTTAATCTTTATTTATACGAGGAAATTGGTTGTCCATATAACAGGTCTGTTGCTCTAAGCCATATGCCCAAGTCATATACGTATATATGTAGTACAAAATGTTCAATAAGCCTGTGGTGTGTGATATCTATTACAACTTTAACCCAAACGATAGCTTCATTACAGAATAATATTTTTTAATTGCCCTGTAATAAAGCTACCCTTTGGCATTGAGCCAGAATACATGGGTTGCTTGAATTGTTTTCTTTTTTTTTTTTAACTATCAACCGAGACCAAGACAAATATGAACACGCACATAGACAGACATGATCAGAGCCCTTCAGCCTAATTTTTAAGTAATTACCATACAAAGTCATAAAATTATGTAACATTCGTTTTTTTCAGGTACAAAGTACATTTATACAATAAAACAGATGTAAGTTTGTTAAAGTCTAATACTATGTCTCAAATTCAAAGTTCGATTAGTCGCCATAAGGGCTTAAATAATTTGTGTGACAGAAGATCAGACCTGTTACCAAGACTTGACAGCAGACCTTCAAGTTAACTGACAAGTAGGAACTATAGAATATAAGTTTCAAAAGGATACGTGTTGCAACTCCAGATTGTAATCGACATGTTGTACAAATAGCCTGTATCTTGTTAAATTTGACCGATCTTAGTCCTCGAAGTGCCATACTCATGTAAATGTACAAGATGCCTCCGAAATAACCTTAGCTGACTGCTTGTTGCAAAACATATAATGACCTTCACCTCTGGTGGAGGAGTGTCCCGCTTTTCCGCAGCAAAATTTGTCCTTTCCTTAGAAATCGTCATCATAATGAATCAGAAAACAGAATTGTCATATTTTCTTCTATGCTTAATGCGGTAAAAAGGGTTTTTGTATTTTACAGCAATAATATATACCGGCAGAAGGATCGCAGAAACGCATGCACAACAACATGGCGGAGCTTTCAGAACTCGTGTTGAAGGCTGTCGACAGAACTGAAGGAGTAGATACTAAAGACATAGCCTCACAGCTAAATGTAGATCACCAAAAAGTAGTTGGGACTGTAAAAAGTTTACAGTCGTTGGAAGGTGTAAGTAAATACTTGTATATCTAGAAAGGTTTTCGAAGCAGATGGAGATGCCACGAGTGATGCAATCACCTGTCAATCTGTTGATGTTGATCATGACTCAACAGAGACAAATTCGATTTTACCATTATTTCTATCGGACAGATCAGCCTAGCAGAATGAATGTATGTTATGTTGCTCTTTTAGGCATCTCAACATGAGTGAATTCATGGCTAGTGTTTTAAGTAAGAAAATTAGCACCTAGTCTGGTTTCTCTTTTCATATACTTTGTACATATGCCTATCTGAGATACAGAAATTTCTTGATAAAAGCCTATCAATTTAGTTCACAAACCCGATATACCTAAAAAGTGCCCCAGGGAGGAATGAATGCCTGATGGTGTTTGTACACTATGTAGCTAAAAGAGGTCGATGCCCCTGTCTAACAACATGTGGAATTTCAATTTAATGGACCGAGTGCAAAATAATGCTTGCACTGTGATCTTTGATCTTGTAGCAAGCACACCCTGTAGAACTGTGATAAGATGAGTGTGCAGCAATGTTTTTGCAAGACTGTCATTTCCCTTAGTGTGAACGGTTCTGACTATCTATTTTTTGTCTTGAATAAGAACCATATTCAGAACCCTTCAGACCACATTTTGTAAAATAAGTTTTTGTTTTCAATTACTGGATCAGCAATAAAATTATTCAAAAGTCACAATTAATATAGTAATTGTTCAAATTACTCTGAAGCTTACAATAATCAACAATTACTTGTAGAAGATGTTATTCTAGGGTAAGGGTAATAACATCAAGCGAATGTGATGTTCATCATTCAGTCATATGATTGATTTATCTCACTGAACTAAGAAAGACAGCCAAGCATAACAAAATGAAAAAGGATATCCTGATCTATCTGACTGTTTAATTGTTTAAAATAGGTAATCACTGCAGAGCAATGTGTAGAAAAATGCTGGCAGCTGACAGAGGAGGGAAAGAAAATTGCTGAAGGAGGAAGCCATGAGGCACTTGTTTACTATGCAGTGCCATCAGATGGAGTCACACAGGCTGAAATCATGGTAACATCTGGAATTGATTTAATCACAAAATATAAATGTTCTTATAACACACCACCAAACTTCAGTTTCAACAACTGTAAATTTTCATCTTTGAGTCAGAGCTGATTAAAAAATAAAGAAAAAGATGTGTATTGGATTGATTTATTTTCACCTTCCACTATAAACTTGTCAGACACATTTTTGATAATGTGCTCAGTTGTAATGGAACTGAAGTATGGGATTGGCTGATTAGCAGTTTGATTACTATTGACTTTTCTATGTCAGGTGAGGCATTTCTTGGATTTTGTTAAATAATAATTTTGCTTCTGATTGTAGAAATCTGTTCCAAATGCCAAAGTCGGCTTTAGTAAAGCTATGCAGAATGGCTGGATTCAGATTGACAAGAAAGCTGAAGGTGGACCAAGAGTTACCAAGAAGGTTTGTATGATATTCATAGATATGTTTACATATTCTGAATAATAATGATAAACTTTATTTATTTTACAACAATTGCGAAACAAGTTATTTCAACTTATACTAATCACTCTTGTTGGGCTGGATGTAAGTGTGCGAGGGGTCTTATTGTGGGGGGAAACCGGAGTACCCGGGTAAAACACATGTGGTCTGGCAGGTGACCCTTACCTTTTCACTTCTGTTAAAGGAGTCGAACCCCGGACGGCTAAACTAATTACAGATCAGGAAAGATAATGCTTGGTTGTCATGTTGTCTTATACAATCAGATTACGCAAGAAAAATACATTGGTGTCTCTTTCCACAAGATGTAAAATGTGAATAGTCAGTGTGTTTATTAGTTCAGTACTTATTAATTCAGTAAACTATTGTGTGTATTTATTAGTATAAGTTCACCTTGATGAGGCAGTGTGCCATGTATCAAAAGTAGGTCGCAAATTTTATTTGACCTTTGACCTTATCAAAGAAAAATTTTGCATTGACTATCTCCTACACTACTTGTAAATGAAAACTTCATATTTGGGGCATGTTTTCATCTTCATAAAGCAGTGCATCAATTTTTCAAAAGTAGGTCAGTGATCTGTATTTTGACCTTTGACCTACATAAAAGAAAAAGTTTCTATTTCCTACACTACCGGACACTGGAACTTCATTCTTAGTGTAAGGGTTCACCTTGGTAAGAGTTGTGTCATTGGGGAATGTGATTCGCAGAATTGTTTTGTTGTTTTGTATTTATTAGTGGGTGTGTTTATTAGTTGACATCATTATTAGTTGATGTCAATTAATTTCTGCTCTGTAAGTACTGTCCTTGATATGATTGCTCTGTTTTATTGTCAGGTTGACAACATTAGCGATACTGTACAGGAATGTCTAAAAAGAGTAGAACAGGGCAAAGATGACATGACTGATGCACAAAAAGCGGAGTGTAAGAAAAGGAAGCTCATCACAGAGATGTAAGTCTAGTAAAGATAGTCAGATATGTATATGTTGTCACTATTATGTAACTTCTAATATCTAATAGGTCATAGGATACACTTAACCTGTCAATTTAGTACCTACCTTAGAGAGTACCCTTAGAACAAACTGTTGGAGTTCTTTACACACCGTTAATGAATACATGTACACCTAGATATAAGATAAGTAAGTTGTATAAATACCTAAAACAGATATCAATTACTTGCAGAAAGCTAACAAGTTACCAACTGAGAAAGGGACCAGTTTTTACATTGTCTGTACAGAAACAAGAAGTGGACTTAACACCAGAAATGATACAAAAGTAAGCACAAAAACACCACTGTTAATCTTGTATTGAAGAATTCATATATTATGAAAAATGTAAAACCATACATAAGATAGATATTCTGTTATTCAAAAACGTTTTTTTCATATTAATAAGTGTTTTTTTTATAAAACTCTATGACATATAAAAAATAAATAAGATTAAAAAAAATTAAGTAAAATTGTTTATCATGTTCAGTACATGTATAATACATGAATCGATAACTGTTACATACAATGCTGTAGTAATATTTCTGTTTGATACACCAGCGGGACGTGGAAGGATAAGTCATTCAAAGAATACAACTTTGATGCATTAGGGGTACCTCCCAATTGTGGACATCTTCATCCACTGCTGAAAGTCAGAGCAGAGTACAGACAAATATTCCTTGAAATGGGGTAAGTATGACTCTCTGAACAGTAATATGGAGTTAACATTCCTTATACCCAGTATCACAATAAGCATCTGAACAAATAAATTTTAAATTCATCAGAGTACCTTCAAAATCAAAGTCAAAAAAAGTTGCAAGTAACATATATATATATCATTATTGCTTAACAGTGATAATATATGTATATAAAGAAATCACTTTGAAAAAGATTGTCAATCATCTTCCTATTTCATCCCCATTTTAACATTCAGTTTCACAGAAATGCCCACCAACAATTTTGTTGAGAGTTGTTTCTGGAATTTTGATGCCCTATTCCAGCCTCAGCAACATCCGGCCAGAGATGCACATGATACCTTCTTTGTCTCAGGTCAGTGTCCCTTTGTTTCATATTGTTTTGATATCGATGACTTGATATTAATTGATGGCTGTTTACTCTATCTGTGTATGGCTTGAATAAGGTCTACTGTATCCTCGCAAGGCCCAGGTACAGTTACTGTATCACTGAATGACCCAGGTGTGGTTAACTGTATCACTGAATGACCCAGGTACTGTTTGCTGTATCTCTGTATGGCCCAAGTATGGTCTATTGTATCTCTATATAGCCCAGGAAAGGGCTTCTGTATATCTTTATGTCTGAATGGCCCAGGTATGGTCTACTGTATGTCTGAACGGACCAGGTATGGTCTACTGTATGTCTGAACGGCCCAGGTATGGTCTACTGTATGTCTGAATGGCCCATGTATGGTCTACTGTATGTCTGAACGGCCCAGGTATGGTCTACTGTATGTCTGAATGGCCCAGGTATGGTCTACTGTGGTCTAGTGTATGTCTGAACGGCCCAGATATGGTCTACTGTATGTCTGAATGGCCCAGGTATGGTCTACTGTATGTCTGAATGGCCCATGTATGGACTACTGTATGTCTGAATGGCCCAGGTATGGTCTACTGTATGTCTGAATGGCCCAGGTATGGTGTACTGTATGTCTGAATGGCCCAGGTATGGTCTACTGTATGTCTGAATGGCCCAGGTATGGTGTACTGTATGTCTGAATGGCCCAGGTATGGTCTACTGTGTGTCTGATTTGCCCAGGTATGGTCTACTGTATGTCTGAATGGCCCAGGTATGGTGTACTGTATGTCTGAATGGCCCAGGTATGGTCTACTGTATGTCTGAATGGCCCAGGTATGGTCTACTGTATGTCTGAATGGCCCAGGTATGGTCTACTGTATGTCTGAATGGCCCATGTATGGACTACTGTATGTCTGAATGGCCCAGGTATGGACTACTGTATGTCTGAATGGCCCATGTATGGACTACTGTATGTCTGAATGGTCCAGGTATGGTCTACTGTGTGTCTGATTTGCCCAGGTATGGTCTACTGTGTGTCTGATTTGCCCAGGTATGGTCTACTGTATGTCTGAATGGCCCAGGTATGGTGTACTGTATGTCTGAATGGCCCAGGTATGGTGTACTGTATGTCTGAATGGCCCAGGTATGGTGTACTGTATGTCTGAATGGCCCAGGTATGGTCTACTGTATGTCTGAATGGCCCAGGTATGGTCTACTGTATGTCTGAATGGCCCAGGTATGGACTACTGTATGTCTGAATGGCCCAGGTATAGTGTAATGTATGTCTGAATGGCCCAGGTATAGTGTAATGTATGTCTGAATGGCCCAGGTATGGACTACTGTATGTCTGAATGGCCCAGGTATGGACTACTGTATGTCTGAATGGCCCAGGTATAGTGTACTGTATGTCTGAATGGCCCAGGTATGGTCTACTGTATGTCTGAATGGCCCAGGTATGGACTACTGTATGTCTGAATGGCCCATGTATGGACTACTGTATGTCTGAATGGCCCAGATATGGACTACTGTATGTCTGAATGGCCCAGGTATAGTGTAATGTATGTCTGAATGGCCCAGGTATAGTGTAATGTATGTCTGAATGGCCCAGGTATAGTGTAATGTATGTCTGAATGGCCCAGGTATAGTGTAATGTATGTCTGAATGGCCCAGGTATAGTGTAATGTATGTCTGAATGGCCCAGGTATAGTGTAATGTGTTACCGTATGGCCAAGGTATGGTGTAATGAATCATTGCTGACATCCTATTACTACATTATTACACTGAATACATTTTCTTCAATGTTATATAGAATAAAGTTCATTAATGATACTGATTAAGTTTGAATGACCAGGGTCATGTTAATATCTTAATGTTGTTCATAACATTTGTTGTTTCTGTTGGATTTTGATACAGCAATAATTTGTGGTTTTTCACCAATCACCAGTAGTGTTTTTTCTCTACAGACCCCCAGTTTGCTCACGAGTTTCCTATGGACTACTTAGCAAGAGTTAAAAAAGTGCACTCAGAAGGGGGATATGGTTCTCAAGGGTAAGTGCAAGGTTTTATGATGTCTTCAAGAGGCAATGCCTGTTTAGTTTGATCCTGCTAGAACCCTGATAAAATGAAAAAAAAAAAATTATATTCAGAGAAAAGAAATATGCTGCTCTGTAAAGTTTATACATTGTGTATGTATAACGTGAATCCACTGAGTTGTTATTCTTCAGCATGGAGAGTAAATGTTTTACACAATATCTATCTTTCTTGAGAGAAATTAATGATCAGACTGGAATCCATCGATAACTCCTTGTTTTATAGATATAACTGTGACTGGAAATTGGAAGAAGCCAAGAAAAATATTCTACGGACACACACAACCGCTGTCAGCAGTCGAATGTTGTATAAGATTGCGCAACAGGTCAGACACTAATGCATCAGTAGAAGATCTCAGTGTTTTAAGTACTACTACCTAAATACAATGAAAGTCAAATCTTTGTTTTAACAAAAAGCATATTGGAGCACTGGGTTTGTATTCTTGTCAATATTTACATCAAAAATATATAGTGTTTCAAAATATGTTTTAAATAAAATTGAGTACCGTATTTTCCAGGTTATAAGCCGCAGGTTTTTTCCTCAGCGGTCGAGCGTGCAGCTTATACGCCAGTGCAGCTTATGTATAGGTTTTAGTGTTAATTGCTCCACAGACGTATAATAAATACATAATGCATATCTTAAAGATTTCTTTATCAATGAACAGGAGGAGTTCAAACCTGTGAAGTACTTCTCCATAGACAGAGTGTTCAGAAATGAGGCCACAGATGCCACTCACCTTGCCGAATTCCACCAGATTGAAGGTGTTGTGGCTGATCGGGGAATGACCTTGGGTGATCTCATGGGCATCATCAAAGAGTTCTTCAAGAAGTTAGGCATTGACGAGATCTGTTTCAAACCAGCATACAACCCATACACTGAGCCTAGTATGGAGATTTTCGGCTACCATGATGGTAAATATTTCAGACTTGTCAGTTCGTCTCTATTGTTTGTAAGATAAATGAAATACTCACAATAATTATTTTTCCTTTTTCCTAATTTGGTATCAGAATTAAATTAGATTTGTTCATCTGTGGACAAAGTCTTGAAAATAACGAATGTTTACATAAACATACGTTAAATAAGGAAACAACAACAAAATAAATAGATTGTGATTATTTTACTTATCAATAATTACCTTACTTATCAATAATTTCCTATGTGCTCTGCTTGAACTGCACATACAAATCAATACAAAATAACAAGCGATAGATACACATTTATGAATTAACTTATATATATATATATATACATATAGGCCTGAATTTACAAAAGTGTCAAGCATTGAGCTGATTCAAGGTGGCACCACCTAGACTCTAATGTAATTAGAGTTGTTCCCCTTGACTACGTATTGTTATGATTTATTACAGGATTACAGAAATGGGTAGAGCTTGGAAACTCAGGAATCTTTCGCCCAGAAATGCTCTTGCCAATGGGATTACCAGATGACGTGTCAGTGATAGCTTGGGGATTATCACTAGAGAGGTGGGTGCAAGGCTTTATGGGGTATAACTGGTAGGCAAAAGTAAGCTTAGTGATTATCACCTGATATTCCAGTTCAGTAAATAAGGGGAGATAATTCCCCCTAGCTGTGCTTTTTGCTACTGAGATTTCATTTTTTATATTTTCTTAATTTCAAACAAGGAAAAAATTGTCAGAAATACAAAAATTACTGTTTACAAGCTTTTCTGGGCGGCACCTCAAACACTGATCAAATGACCTCCACAGAACTTTTCAGACTACCGGTAGTTGTTATGCTACTAAGCTCATCTGCCTGAAGGTTACAATAATTATGTCTTCCAATTTTTGCAGGCCCACCATGATAAAATACAAGATTGATGACATCCGCACATTGATAGGGCCAAAAGTGGACCTGCAGATGGTCTACAACAACCCTATATGTAGACTAGACAAGTGAGAAGTCTGGAACCACTGATATAGATATTCTAATTTATAAATCAATTTTACATCATTATCCGATGTTGACATTTCTTCACTCTAAGCATGACAAGACCAAGACAGCTTTTTGTTTTATGCTTTGTACGTTATTGGCATTTCTTCATTATATTGGGGTTGACATATTTTGGTCCAATAGAATATGTAATTCTAACACTGGTTTGTGCAATAAGGTAATACAGAAACAAGTACAATGGCACCATGTCTGTACTTCAGTGTTATTGGTATGTACATGATGCTACAATGGATTCATCGGACTGCACTTGTATGTGAAGAGGCTCAAATTCAATATTAGTGAAAAGTTGATGGAGTAGCTCATGGTGTAAGGTGACAAGACTGTGAAAGGAAGATTTTGTCTTCATGCAAAAGGATGTCGGCTTATTAAAATCATAGGTGCACTATACTTTTAGTTCACAATGAATTTTGATGAAATTTTATTTTCAGAAATCAAACGTAGTACATTTTTGTTATCAGAATTAAATCTGGTATTAACAGATGATTTTGTTAGACTTTTCAATACAACGCCATTTTAATGAATATAAGAAATATGTTGACTGACCCATTTCAGCAACACATTGACTCCTGAATTTCAAATCCCTGCTGTAATTGGAACTCAAAAGTTTATGCCGTTTGTTTGAACAAGAGGCCCAAGGGGCTTGCATCATGCACCTAGCTAATTTAGCTAATCGGCTAAAGAATTTCAAAGATGACAATCAATTTCTGATATAACTTCCTTATTGGGTTCCACCCTTGTGGTCAAACAGAGGTCAGATTCACAATTCATGAACATTGCTTCATGCCAAAACTTGGGCAAATCCTTGTATGGAAAGACTTTTAAGAACTTGCATTTCCTCTATTGGGCTACACCATTTATACCGAACTTTGACTCCTTCGCCCAAGAAAATTTGGCAATATCTATTTATGTTTTTAGAAGTAAGATTTCAGAGAACTTGGAAAATTTCCATTTGGGCCCCACCCATAAGGCCCTTGGGAACTGAGAGCCAATCCTAATATAAACTTTGTTCCTCTTCACCCAAGAACACCTCTTACCAAATTTGGTTCAGACTAAATGTGGGAAATATCCATTCATTCCTACAGGAGGAGTAGGATTTTCAATAGTTTGCTCTATTTCCCCTATTGAGCCCCGCCCCTCCAGGATGAAAATAAATAAGAGACATTTGTGTGGAGTAACATTAAATTCCTTTATTATGTTACCATTACAGACCAAAAGATGATGCACAACAACACACACGTAGCCATGACAATGATTTAAATAACATCTGCCCATCCACCGTGGTCAGTTGTTACTAAGACTGCATACTGACAGTGTTTACCATATTTTTTGTACCTCAATACTTTTGTTTAGTACAAAAATTAGTGCAGGTAATTTGCGCCTGAAAAATAATAATTTACTATCAATTATTTTAGATATATTTACTCTTAAACAAGAAACAACCAAAATTTTATTTCATTTGCAACACATTAATCTCAGTTTCCATTGTCAAAAAACAAAAAAAAAAAGGTAGCCAGTGTCATTTAACCAGTGATGGTAGATTACCTGACAAACCATTAGCTTTGTAAGAAAATATGAATTGTGTTGATTGAATGAATGATCTTTATATGAAGACAAAAAAGATGTCAGCATTGATGATTTGTAATTAGGCTTTCAATTTCCAATGAAAACATTTGATTTAATACAATGATTCCACCAATGTATTTATTAAACTGAATCCAGTCCAGCTGGTATAACCACCACAATGGTAAGCATTCCAAAGAATTATCTACATTATAATTATGAATAAGAAGAAATAAATAAATTGTGGGTTATAACTAATTCAAATGTTGCCCTACGTAGGTTATGTCTTTCTAAAACCCTTCTGGGGTTACAAGTAAGTCAATGGTCACCATAAATAGGTTATATCTATCTTAAAACCACCAGGAGTTACAATTTATACTTGCCAACCTCTAGTGATAAAAGAAAGAAAGCTCTAATTTTTTTCTGATATATAAAGTCATTTTACATGAAGAGAGGCTTACGTGTATGTCGAGAAACTGAATGTCAGTTCATAAAATTAAGAATAAATGAAGGTTTGAAAATGAAAATGGATGAAGTCATTTATATATCTGATGAGAGAAACTTTTAAGCCATACTTTTGATAAGTACAGATGAAATGTCAGGGCTACATGCAATACATACTGATGATATTTACAACAAGATGAAGGCTTTTGCAATAAATGATGGATTTATGCCAACAACTGAATCTTAATTATTAGAATTATGATGATGTAAAATAAATTTCCATGTCAATACACTTTTCCCTATGAAAATTCTAATGTAACAAGTAGAAAACAGTTCAATACTTTGTAGAACAATTTCTCATCGTGTTTTTGTTATAAAAAAAGTAATTAAAAGTTCTTGCACATAAAATATATAATATTCGTTCATGAAAACAGTATAAGACTGTCAAACCTGCTTGAAAATATCGTCTAGTTCTACTTCAAAGAAACAGAAGTAATTTTCGTACAAAACATCTCCTAAAAAATCTAAGCTCTAGTATTTGAATTAAGAAAAATATTCTTAAATAAAAAGTCACATCATTCCTTCAACATTTATCATTGTTGTTGGATAGAATCCCCTTTACTAAAGCCAGTCAGTTTAACCATGGACTATATATTTATCTCTGTATACGTATGAGAAAGTCTTTTTGGTCGTTATAAAATATATTATATATTTACTCCCTCGATCTTAAAAATCATTCATAATCACATCATCACACTTGATGTACCATATTTACAAACAAGAAGTTTACACCAAAAACATACATAACAACAGTGCTTGTACAACAGACAGTGCACCAATGTATCACAAGACTTCTCAACAACATATAATTGTAGAATAACCATCACACAGTGGTTACCATCTTACTACCTCTTCACCAATCTGAAGTACAGTCCATAAAACATATCTGGCTCTTAACTTGTAGATAATCTAGCCAATCTATTGCACTGACTGTCCATTACACAGAAAACATCTTTATACATAGTCCAACAGCAACTGGACCTGTATTTCATCTACCTGAAAATCAAACAGATGTGTTTCTTTACATCGTCTTTCATTGTTTATCAGAAACAGCCAACCATGCGAGAAATGCACTTAGTTTCAGTTTGGAATTTTTTTACAATCTTATGGAATGTTTTTCAGTTATCACAATGTTCATACATAAAGATATGTCTAAAATATATTAGTTAATTTTAATTCACATTTTCATCAACAAAAGACAATAGTCGTTCACTGTAAATAATTTACGTTTTTCCTAGAATTCCTACCGACATTAAATTTGAGAGCATCCTTTATAAATTCTTAATTTCTCATGATTATATCCATATATGGTCCACAAAACAAAAATATTAACATGCATGTACGTTTAATTGTTATAACGGTGAAATCAAATTTCAAGGTATGGCATATATCGTGGGCATCAAACTGTTATAAATATAAGTGATTTACAGCGATTGGTTACAACACAACAATATATAAATCTCTTTAACAAACACATAAGGCTTTTTATAACCGGTCCATTACAGTAGGAACAACGTTAACAAATACTTTGTAACAGATGGATGAAAATTGCATAAAAAGTCATTTCAATGTAAGGCATTTGAACTTTTTTTTTAAGAGCTGGAACTTTCAAACATACCAGGACTTGTAATAGTGTCTTAGCCAGTACATTTCTGACCTCGTCTTTAAGTTATGTGTCATTACAAACCTCGACAGCTGAAATCAGCAGTGTGTACTCTCCCCGCCCTAAAAATTAGGATAGTTAATTGGCACGATTCTAGTTAAGAGTAATACTAAATAGTATGTTTACCAAAGCAATTCTCAGTAATCATTCACAGTTGCTTGATAACAAAAATTATGCCATTTTGTTCCAAATGCTCTAAAATGATTTATGAAAACAAAAATGAGTGACTAACATGAGGTCTTATTGAATTGTGATATCTACTGGTACATTACTCTCTGTCGCTAGAATAATTTACATTGAAGCCCTAGCTATCAATAAAGGTATCGACTATTTGTTTTTAATGTGTAGCAACTGACTTTCTGTCTAATGCTTTGAGAGGAATTCAGTCGTGAGATGTCTTGACCAGAAAACAATATCAGGTCTTTGAAGTCCACTCATTAAGGAGCAATTCTGATTCATTGATTAAAGTATTCTGTATACAATATTAGGAGGACACCTTATCTATATCTGATACACTGTCATCATTATCATCACTATAAACTAATGTTAAAATTTATTTGTATAAAACAATATGATTTCCTAACTAGATACACTGTATAAAACTGGAATATCTACAAAAATTAGTTTTTAAGACTAAGTCTTAATTTTTCACATAAGTAGCAAAATGAGACATTTTTTTTTCTTTGAGAAATTACAAATAAGAAAACTACTAAATTCAAACCCTTTGTTCCAAAAGTCTGGAACCGGTCAATATCTTAAATGATACTAGCATTTGCAAGTGGACGAGGGTATCAACATAATGTAAGGTAAAGTTAGGGTAAGTGTCTGAGACGCGAGGTCAGTATATATGACCTACTGGAATTCATCAAACCTTGACAACACTCAACACAATAAAATGAAAAATAGGAAACAAAAATATTCCATAGATGTTTAACAGGTACAGTACATTGGTGTTCAGCATAGCGATCTTTAAAGCTATTTACAACGAAAATCAACAACAACAATAGAGATCATTTTCTTTGTTGTTTTTTTTTTGTGAATAATACCATCACAAACATTTTCAAAAGTTCAACAAGGTACATCATTTGGTTGAAATTCAAATTAAACTTTATCTTAAAAAGTCTTTGGTCCGGAAACTATGATTTTAAATTGATGTTGATAAAAAGTCTACAAGCTATTTTTCCAGGACCTGTGTTCATATTTTAACTTTGTCTAGACAGCACCATGTTGTTTATTTTTTAAGCACTCAGTTAAGAAAAAATATTGTAGAGACAAGTGATATTGAGCAATTATTTCGATGAAAGGGCATAAATTTGACATTTTCGACTGATTTGGCAATATTCTGATAAAAATTAAATTCCTAAGTTACAATCGTGGTTAAACTTAAAGAAACATCACTTTGATGATAATTTTCTGAATAGCTTTGAATTACAAGTAATCCTTTGATTGAATTCTAGTAATATTTGTTACAAGCTCAAATTTCCAGATACAAAAATACAGTACAAACCAACAAACAGGAACAGTGTGCATCATGTTCCTTAAAATACTATTTACACACATCAATAAATCATCAACACCAGTGATTTTTTTACATAACAGGACACTTAAAATCTTTAACGCCAGAAAGGTAACATTTATGAAACAGTGCGCATACATCTTTAATGATTGACAAACTTAACATATTGACCAGTGATTGGGCATTTTTTAAATGATATGGCAATACACAAAACCAAATACAGGATCTGTAACACTTCAATGACTCAATACATAATGACTACAGGTATTTTGTCAAGTACTAAAACTGCTCCTCGAAAGTTGCCATCTTGTTAAGCCTTCCCTGCTTGGCATCACTAATAGCTCCCCAGAGGTCAAATATAAAGTCGTCTGTAAATCCAAAATCTTTAATCTCCGACTCGTCCACTTTCACTGTAAACTCGTGAGGGTTCTCTGAGGTGCTTCCCATCTCCCATATGGTTGTAGCTACAAAATACATTACACAATTTTAACAGATATTCATTTTGAAGACAAGGCCATTGTCTTATAAGTATTTTTTTTATCACAAATAAGAGATTATCCCTGTCTGATCACTTCCATTGAAAAATGACAAATATTTTTTTTTGAAGTTCAGGGAAATTGCCTACCTAATATATCATTTACACAAAAGACACACATGATCAAGTATGTGTTGCTATTAACAGGGTATAACTGAATAGTTAAACTGCTCCTAAATTTTGTGAGGATGTTTGTCAAACTTGCATTGTGTAAAATAACGATGTAAGGGAATCCATATAAAATCATTCTGATTGCTTAATTGACAGGGTTTTTGTCTCCATGATTCCTTCCGTGTCTGGGTAACATCTCCCCGACGAACGTCAGTGTTCTGGCGACGTGTTAAAATCATTCATTAGCGAAGTGTTAATCCTACATATGTTATCTGACGATATAAATCTTACCTAGTTCCGAGTCATTGATCCCCATGAATGATTCTAGCAGCCCATTGATCTTGTCCACAGCAACATTTACCACCTCATCCGGCTATTAAAACAATCGCAGATAAACTTTATAATATGTTATTTACAAGTAAATAATTTATAAACAATAGTAAAACTCAAGATAAGATAGCATGTCACAAATAAAAGATATTATTCATATGAGCAAAGAAATTATATATATATATCATGCTTATATAAATATATAATCAATGAAATGATGACAGTATGGACAAGTGAACTGTCAAATTTTCCAGGCAATTTGCCTCTTTATCAAGACACAAATATTTCATAAATTACATCATGTACATTGAACATAAAACAAATACAAAGTTATAAACTAAAATTGAGAATGGCACTAGTGCAAATTTAGGTGTCTCCACAATCCCTTTGGCTGATGGATGCTGAAGGCCTTTTATAAGGAACAAAAAAACCATCCTAAGTTGTTGTATGGAAGATGGTGATTAAAATATCAAAAATGTTTTATATCAATCTTGGTACGTTTTGCGCGGTAGACACCTCGCGCATCACACATTTATATATTCATATAATATATTTATATAAATGTGTGATGCGCGATATATATATATAATAAGATGATCCAAAAAAACCTTTGATGATAACTGGCTAAACTTCATTTTCAATTTACCATAAAGCCAATAATTTTTACAGGTAAAAATTTTCACAATTTTCTTTTAAAACAATTGAATTACACTTAACGCATTATACTTTAGCAATTAAAATTTCCTGCTCTGTAAAAGGACATCTCATACATATGCCTCATTATTTCAGGGACTAAATTTTTGGCGTTTCTTTTAACATACCACAAAATAATGAAAAAATACAATTTCCTGGTTTGGATATAAAAGGACATCTCATACATCTGCCTCATTATTTCAGGGACTAAATTTTTGGCTTTTCTTTTAACATACCACAAAATAGTGAAAATATCACCCCCACGCAAAAACTGACAACCCAGGAATATGGTACCTTACAATATCAGGAACTTTAATCTCATTTTTTTGACATTCTCTTGGCATAAATTCCATAACAAATATATATATATACATATATATAAATGTAAGTAAACTGAATGTGAGAATAGTTTGGACTATTCAGAAACCTACCAGGAGAATAGAATGTCTGTGACTAACAAAGGTTAGACATTGTATACAATATAACTCCCTGTATTTATACACTGCAGCCTGTCAGCAATGCTTTGTTATATTGTAAAATGTTATCAGATAACAGACACAAGTATGATATCATGACAGTCTAAAACTTGTCGAAAGTTTACTTAAAGTTGACTACAGAGGTTTAATCCTAAGTCATTCGAAAATACTTACTGGCATTATACAATATACTGATTTGTTTACATCTAAAGACACAATTATTGGTCCCCTCCACAACAATAACACAAAAAGACAATTACATTAAATTAAATTAAATTGAATAAGGAAAGAAAATGTTTGATATGTTACTCACGATTTCCACAGTGGCTGGCCCAGATGACCTGATGCGTAGTGTTTCTTTCCCAGAACCATATTTACTAGATCCCTTCTTTCCAGATGATGGGCCAATATTTGCTGAAGTAACAAAATATCAAAAAATAAATCATCTGACAATTATATTTTTTAACTTCAAATGTTTGAACTTACATTCTACATAAGGTAAGTAACTTCATAACTATGCTTAAGATTTCCAAAATTCATGACCAAATTTTTCATCTTTATGCTAGAATTTGACAGGGGTTCATGTGAAACAAAAGTTATGGATATATTAATCAACACACCTAATGATATTGCTGTGTGCATAACATGAGATAGAAACCAAAAATAATACTATTTGCTAATTACTGGATATTAGACCCCACAATATTACCGGGATATTAGACCCCACAATATTGCTGGGTGTAATACATCAAAACATTCTGGGTACTAGAGTCCAGAATACTTTTCGATATTACACTGCACAATATCAATAGGTATATTACACCAAAGAATACTGGCTACATATACTAGACCCCACAATACCTCTGGCTACAAAAACAAACAATATTTTCAGACATCATATCCCACAATATAGCTGGGTATTAGACCCAATTATACCTCACAATACTCATGGATAAAAAAAAAAAAAAAAAAAAATTTTGTCTGATACTAGACCCCACAGTTCTGCTGGTTACTTTACCTCACAATATCCTTGCACATTAGACCCCGAAATATTACTGGAAACAAGACTGCAAAATATTGTTGGACACTAGGTGAAACAATATTGTTAAATTCAGAATCAGCAGTATTGCTGAATACTAGACCCAAAATTATGCTGGACACTTGATCTGACAATATTGCTGGATATTAGACACAACATTACTGGATACTAGACCAGCTGGATACTAGACCCAGCAGTGCTGCATACTAGACCCCACCATATTGCTGGATACTAAAAACCAAAAAATTGCTCAATACTAAACCCTGCAATATTCCTGGACACCATACATGACAATGTTGTTGGATATTACAGGTTTATGCCAATATATTACTGGATACTGCTACTAGACATCACTTATTAGACCTCACACTAATGCTAGACATTAGGTCCCACAGTATTGCAGAATACTTGATCCACAGTATTGCTGAATACTAGACTCCAATATATTAATGGATACAGCTACTAGAGCTGACAATTTTGCTTCATGTTGACAATTTCACTTAAGCAGTCTAATATTTATGTACACAGCCAGCTTTGTTTCATTATAAGTGATAAATGTTGTGTATGAGGACAGAATGTACTATATTCAGTGAGAAAGCTGTATGATTATCTCCCATTAAAGTCCTTTGTGTGGCCAAGTGTACATCACATCAAATATATTTCCATGAATAAACCTGTTCAACAGGAAATTTTCTGGGTATCCTTACTTCTATTGAAATTTTTCTTTTAAATCAGGCTGTCATTTTGGGTTATTTTTAGATGTGTATGTATCATGTAAATGCATCTGCTACAATAATGGGTAGGATGAAGATGAAGGGATTATATTACTCTGTTATACAATACTTAACCTATTAGGACTAGAATTACCTGGCTTGTTATACATCCAACATGGTATGTAACCTCTAAAGTCCACTTTTTATAATTAACACATTACCAAAAAAAGGTTCTTCATTATTAAAAAATCTTTAAGTGAGAAAAAACACAAACTATAAATCTTAAAAGAAAAAATCGCTAAGATAGGAATATGCCTTGCTCTTATACAAATCAGAATTTGATGAGGTGTAGAACTTGATGTAAGGTAACTTTGAAGCAAATATGAAACAAAGTTGATGGATTTTCAAGGTATGATGACACAGAAACACCACATACACCCTTAATGAATCTAAACAATATGGAAATTGTGACACTGTTGATAGAACAGGATGGACAGGCATCACACAGAAATACACACAAAATGTATCCTCCAATAACATACACACCTTATGTACCCAGGAACACCACACACCATATCTACCAGGAATATGACATGCAAATTATGTATCCAGGAACACCACACACCATATGTACCAGGAACACCACACACACCTTTTGTACCCAAGAACATCACACACCATATGTACCAGGAACACCACACACCTTATGTACCCAGGAACACCACACACCATATGTACCCAGGAACACCACACACCTTATGTACCAGGAACACCACACACCTTATGTATGTACCAGGAACACCACACACCATATGTACCCAGGAACACCACACACCATATGTACCAGGAACACCACACACCATATGTACCAGGACCACCACACACCATGTGTCCAGGAACACCACACACCATATGTACCCAGGAACACCACATGTACCCAACACAACAGTTATCATCAAGAATTTCTATCTAGTTCTTTCAAAAATAGAACAACAATTGAATTAGTCTGTGTAGCCTATCACTCAGTATGCTTTATACACCAGAGACCACACTTTGTGTGTCATAACACCAATTATTTCTACCAGGCTACCTTATAAATCTATCAACATGTACAAAATATTTAAACTCACTGAATCAGGAAATTACGACAAGATCTGAAACCTCAAAACACTTGTTCGTCTTTGTATGGTCGGAATGTTCAAGAAAAATTTACTGTTCATCCCTATTCTATACATATGTAAACAAAATCAAAGTAAACATGACTAACCTGTCATCACATCAAGACACTGACCTAAAGTTACAATATGACTGAAGTACAAACATGTTCTCATATCTTTTTTAAAAAGTGTTCCTTTTTTACTAATAATGAAGAGATACACAACATAGATGTTGCCCTCTATTCTACCTCCAGATCTTGGCAGTCTGATAACAGGTATTGTTAGGAGTGATAAGACTGTTCTGTTTTGACCTTTTATGTAAAGCAACCGCTGTAAAGGAAATATGAGACCAGAGTGTTGATCTTATTGCAATAATACAATGGTGAGAACAGTTGCCATGGTAACATATATGGATTATAAAGTAAAAGTATAGCCAGGTATATTTGATACCATAGAAACATTACCAGGTTGTCAGGTTATGTGGATGTTCTGGATTACAAACCAGCTACAGAGTATAATTAGGCTGTATGTAGTCGATGTTGATTGTGATGCAGGTTACAACTGCACCACAAACAAATACCTACATGGCAATATCTTACCTCACAGTGTTTAAAATACGCTTTTACAAATATGATTTCTCAATAGGATTTGGTGTTTGCCATACGTAAATTCAAACTGTAATAAAAAGATTGGTTTTTTTAAAAAAAAAATTATAAATATGTATTGAATGTAGATTCTAAGACTGTACGGAAAATTAAAAAAGATATTTCTATTATACAAAACCCTAATAACTAAAACTCTGTTGTGACATTTGATCTAAACTTCAGATATCAGCTAAACAAAAACCAGAGCAGTATATTATAATGGAAATCATTTATGAGAGGTTATATTCAGATGGCTGCTCTCATTCACATTCTCATTAAACCTGGTTTTATTTTATAAATTACCTTGAATTTTTCTAGTAATGATATTTATTTATATGTGTTCTTGTATGTCTTTAATATAATATTTATATGTGGTGTACTATGTACGTTTTCATTACACCTAATTAATGACTCATTCAGTAACTGAGAATGGTCTCTATATATTGTACCAATTGGACAGAGTGGACAGCGTAGATACCTACAGAACTTGTTTTTATCAAACGGTTTGGTTATTAATCATTCATTGGATATTTATAGCTGCGACAAGCAATATCTTTTATGAGGAATAGGTCTCAAGGCTGATCAATTCTTTTTGTTTTGTTTTTTTTCGTAATCTGCACTAGGCACTAGGTACATACACATACACTGGTATTGTAGTCTTTATTTCAATTCCTCATGATAATTAATTCATAAATGTTTACTTGTGATCAGTAACTTGTAAACAATTACTTGTGATTAGGGACTACACATGAATGGAAATTTATAGCCTGTAAGCTAATGCTTTCAGCATTTGAAAGAATTAATTTTTTTGAATATAAATGAATGTATTGAATCGGGAAAGAAAGTTACATTTAAAAGCAAGAAATTCTGACCACAAGAACAATGTTGACCAATACAGCGGTATCACCATACATTATACTATACCACATCAGTACGGACATATCACACCACGGATTAACAACAGGTATTGCCAGGTGAAAACATACAAATAAATATACCTGTTCAGTAGGTACTAGGTACATCAGTATTATATGTATATGTTTAAGAAGTGCTATCTCTATCAGTATATACAAACATCACCAGGAAATCCGTACATATTTAGTATCACACAGTATCTGGATAATATAATCTACATTTATTTACTCAATGTCATTCATAGGAGTATAAATAACATGCATTTTCTGAAGGTTCGCATTATCAATATCGCAAACGCAAGTGGTATAGGTATACAGAATCTCTCCGGATCGAAGAAACTTATGAAAATTCGTCAAATACACTGAAACTATTTTTAGAGGTATATATGAAAAGATATATTTTACATATCTTATATACAACAAAGCAACAAAAAAAGGGTTAAAATACAAAATAGGAAACAAAATTCTGACACAAATTACCCAAACCAGCAGCATAAAACAAATAACATCAACTCAAATAAAAATTATTTCAATAAAACAAAAATAAGGGTAATAATCAAATGTTGAGATGAAGAATATAAAGCACTAGTTTGACTTGTAACAACTGGTTATGATTAGTCCAATCTGTGTAATTTTCCAATTAGTTCCTAATGACAAAAACTGGCAATTGTAACCCATACTCACCAGAAACGGGTGAATAAAAACACACACTGTCACAGGGTAGCTATTTTTCAGCCCCAAAAAGGACCTACGTTCATTACATAGGTTTTAATGTAAGTGTATTGCTGTTGGTAAATATAGAATGCATACTGCAATGCTCAGTCAGGGTCAGAAATTTGATTGAATTCCAACCCAGCTAATAGCTTTCTGGATTTGATATGTTCCAAAATTTCCAATATCAATCACAGATACTTACAGATTTCTCCAAAATTATCCAAAACTTACCCAAGTTCCTTAACCAGTCCATCACCCAGTGTAACACTGATGTCAGTGTTTGTGAAGTACTGTCTTTAACATGTAACGATGACATACACCCAGCATAACTTCAGCTGGCAAAGTTTAGGGACAGTATTACTGACAGACAGATTGCTTTATCACCACCAAGTGATAAGAACTAATTATTCTACCTAGTTTATAAGTAAAATTATGTTCTCATCAAAATGTATAAAAACCATATTTATATATAAACTTAAGAAACAACAGATATGACTTTTAATTAGAAAACGTGAATATGAAAAAAAACACAAATGAAAAACATTCAAAGTCTTATTAAAATAAACTTTTAATACTTACAAAAACCTGACTTCAAGGGTTCCACTGTTCTGATGGTGAATGTGCTCCCCTTTGGTATATCTTTTAACATTTTTGCCACCTCGAAATGACGACACCCTACTAAGTTCTTTCCATTTATTTTTTCTATGTGATCTCCAACAGCAATTAAAGGCATTGTGTCCATAATGCTATTTTCCTTAATTCTTTTGATGAACGCGTATCCAGCACCATTGTCTGTGATTGTCAAGCCCAGGGCATCTTCTGACTTTGTAACATCCAGTTCCTTTGGTCGTCCCTTTATATGTGCAAAGATGAAATCATCCAATCCTATCTGGCCACCTAGCAATTTGGTCATGTCTATCTTGTGTGTGTTCAGCGTACAGAATAGAATCTGGCAAAAGAGAAAATACAAATTTGAAAAGTTCCACCATCAGATCTATTCATTTTTATGTGTTGTATTTACTTGCTTTATGTTAAGTTACTTGAAGACCTGTTTTAGAAGGAAATATATATATATATATATACAACAAAGTAATGATAATACGCCAAGATATGGACAGACTAGCCAATACCAACTGACATCAACAAAGAAAAGCAAGTTTCCTCGTTTCTTGAGAAGTTGTATTTCAACTTATGGGGGGCACTCAAGAAAAATATCAAACTTTCCACCACTTTTAAGGAAATATAACTGTCCTTCATCGGGAAACAAAGGATGTTCATTAACTGATATACTGTACAGTGCACTGAATCCTCGATATAACATCCTGCCTATATGGTGTTAAACTTCCAATATATTGCCCCTCATTGATATCAAGTATTGTGAGTACCCCTTACTCAAACATTGAAATCTTTTATTAGATATACATTATAAAACCTACCTGTATCTAAATCGTAAACTGCCTTACACTTTAGGGTTCGTTATTTGGTTCTGGAAAGCATTACTTTGGTTGATGAGAAATAAATGACATTGATCCTCCATGTAATCACAATAAAACAAAAGAATTTCTCCATTCTAATCCATACCTTTAGTACAGACCATCTGTACAGACCTAGGACTTGTTACAACTAGTTAGTAACCAGTATGACATCTATCCTTAAAACAGTGGCAACTTCCTAAGGCCAATGTTCTTGTGACTGGCCTTGATGCATAAACCCACCGTATATATATATAGTATTCTAAACAAATTAATTTGCTGGGATACATACCAGATATATGGCTGCAATCCAGGTGCATAGCTACAAATCAGTTATATGGCTACAAACCAGTTATATGGCTACAAACCAGTTATATGGCTACATAAAGTGTCTGCCGGCAGACAAAACCAGGACCATTATGATAGATTAGCCTTTTCTATCATTCCTTCATTGCAGACAACTGTTCTGAATTTATTGTTGTAGCAAACAAATTAATACGAATAAATCTTCATTAATTATATCTTTGTAATTCCTGACATATCTGTATGTTACATGACTCTCATTCATTACCTTTATATCAACACCAAGATTTTAATATATTACCTTTTTAGCCATCAGGTTTTTATTGTCTGATCAGGACAGTGAAATGTCTGCTTTTGAAATCAGGTTTTATAGCTAGGAGATATGGTTTTAATTACATATATATATATACACTCTTTATAAATGGATCTGGAAGGTTATCATTAAAATGTATAACTCAGAAATGTCACATTTCATGTTTAAAAATGTTTTGTAGTAAAATGTCACATTCTGCAGTCATGCTTCCCTATACTGTAAATACAGAGTTATGGCCCTTTGTTCTTTTTTAATGAAAGTTTGTTTTGAAGTGCAAGACTAAAGCTGCTTGTCTTTACCTTAACATTGTACATAAGGATAGCAAACACTAAAATATAAATCAAACTTCCTTCTTAATAAACTACTGACCTAATGACCGCAGCTCAGCTCAAAGCATAAACATTAACAAGAATGCAGTCACTATCAGCAAACACATGCTATCTGTATGACCTACACTGTCACAGATACAAGTGTAATCTGTGTGTATCTGTTCTATGCTCTACTAAACACACAACAATGGCCACTCCACATTGTTTGTCTTTCAGCTTTATTTTCAATATTCCTTTAAACCCTACAACTGACTCTATGTTAAATGCAAGCAAAACAAGACTTAGTTTTTGGTGTTTGGTACCTGTATCTTAATTCAGGTTTGTCAGGTAAACAGATTGGTGACAGTCAGTTTTTGGGTGTATGGTACTTGTATCTTAATTCAGGTTTGCCAGGTAAACAGATTTGTGACTGTCAGTTTTTGGGTGTTTGGTACTTGTATTATAATTCAGGTTTGTCAAATATACAGATTTGTGACTGTCAGTTTTTGGGTGTATGGTACTTGTATCTCTGGCCAGGTTTGTTAGGTATACAGATTCACATGTATATGCTGCCATTAAAAAATATTTCTCCAATGTAAGCATTGTTTGTTCAAATGTAACACCTTTGTCTGTAGTCTCCAGGATTCTAATTAAATACCTGATAAAGGTGTATCAGTAGCACATTATTTAAACAGTCTTATCAAAAGTCTTACACAATTGTTATATAAGACTGACGTTATCCATGCATTTAGCCTTACTAATGATCTATTGTTTCTAAACTATCAACAGTAGCTGCTATAGTGTACAGCTGTGCACTATTGCATTCATAAATATCTTATCCAAATTAACAATTTACTCAGTATGTTGTGTCTAGCATACATTTAGAACAAAAAGGAAATCTGATCGAAGGCGCAGTCCTAATGAATTAACACAATGTAGGTACTCTGTGATTATATGTATAACTAGATCACAAGGTGTCTCTGGATTATCAACACTGTACAGATTCCTATCATTGTTTGTAAGACTGAATGTACTATCTTCAGGATTAAATATAACCTTTGACTACTATAGAGTATTTACTCAATGATCAAATATTCAGCAAATAATTTAGTGTAGACTGATCTTATCAACCAACATATATCATCATCGTCGTCGTCGCCGTCATCATCGTCATCATCATCATCATCATCATCATCATCATCATCATCATCATCATCATCATCATCATCATCATCATCATCATCATCACCATTCAAGATGCAAAAGTAAAAATATTTGGTAGTATATAGTACATTACATGTAATAGCTATATATATCCAGGTAGTATATAGTACATTACATGTAATAGCTATATATATCCAGGTAGTATATAGTACATTACATGTAATAGCTATATATATCCAGGTAGTATATAGTACATTACATGTAATAGCTATATATATATCCAGGTAGTATATAGTACATTACATGTAATAGCTATATATATCCAGGTAGTATATAGTACATTACATGTAATAGCTATATATATCCAGGTAGTATATAGTACATTACATGTAATAGCTATATATATCCAGGTAGTATATAGTACATTACATGTAATAGCTATATATATCCAGGTAGTATATGGTACATTACATGTAATAGCTATATATATCCAGGTAGTATATAGTACATTACATGTAATAGCTATATATATCCAGGTAGTATATGGTACATTACATGTAATAGCTATATATATCCAGGTAGTATATAGTACATTACATGTAATAGCTATATATATCCAGGTAGTACATAGTACATTACATGTAATAGCTATATATATCCAGGTAGTATATAGTACATTACATGTAATAGCTATATATATCCAGGTAGTATATAGTACATTACATGTTATATCCATGTCAAGAAAGCGTAACCAATTACAACTAATACAGTGTAACCCACTTAATAGCATGTTCTTCTTGTCAGGGGGAAATGTCATAATAAGCAGAACATGTGTCTGTAGATATGTGAGATATGAAAATTTCACTTTATTAAATTGGAAAATAAAGTCAAAATTAGAATAAACCTTCTTTAAATGACCTATCCTCAATTTAGTATCCATGACAGACAACAATATCATGGGTGTTTGATGACAAAACTTTTTCTCTCTCTTTGAGCTATACCCTTTTATTTATAGTTACACAACATCAAAAGCAAAAATAAAGGTCTATTTTGTTATAGTCTAACATACTGATTGTATACTATACAAGTAAGTTATAGACACATTGAATGACCGCTACTCCTCTGGAGATGGTATCATGGCCAATTGCTTGTAGCACTGGATCGCCACAGTCAATCAAACGTTTAACTACATTTCAATTGTGACATCATAATGTAATGGCCTCCGTCTGTAGCCAGTGTAGCATAGGAAAGGTCATCGAGTGTAGCTGTGTGGGACACATTTTGTACATCATGTTTTGTACTGGAGGATAATAACCTCCGAGGTAAAGACATACCACGGCATTAATCCTAACCAGGAAGAATTTTACTTTACAGCTGTTATTAGACTGACAGACTGAAGAATTACTCCTCTAACCAAAGGTTTCTGTCTCATTATCATGTAGTACAGTGGTGTAACAGTTCCTTGTCCATATAAAGGTTCTATTAGTTTATCATTGTCCTCATTGTTCTCGACTAATTACGTTTGTCATATGTACCTCATATTCAAATACACAAATTTCAAAGCTATTTTGCAGACACCAGTTGACATCTGTTTTAAAAGGTTTCAGGACTTGATTGGATTATCCTATATGATAGTGATGAAATCTTGGTTTACCATTAAATATTAGAGGATGATTTTAACAGATCAACGTCAGGACATGTTTCCATAATATCTAATCATATCATATAGTATCTAAGGATTAACAGTATTGACCAATCCTCACTTTCTTCAAAAACAACCTATATACAGTACACATGAAATGTTATTCTTAATTCAGCTTTGTCACCAATGATCTATAAACATAATACACATCAAATGGTAAACAACGCAGTTCTGCTACATTATTCCACCTCATATCCCTACACAAAGGGACAGACTCATTTACTGTCCACAAAATCTTTATACACATCCCCTCCCCTCATCATGATCTACATGATAGAAATGAATCCTAGCCACAATTTAACTAGCTTTAACAATATCCTCATACCACAACAGCTGCCTCCCTCCCTAAATCACACACAATCCCCTACAATATCCTCATACCACAACAGCTGTCCCCTCCCTAAATCACACACAATCCCCTACAATATCCTCATACCACAACAGCTGCCCCCCTCCCTAAATCACACACAATCCCCTACAATATCCTCATACCACAACAGCTGCCCCCCTCCCTAAATCACACACAATCCCCTACAATATCCTCATACCACAACAGCTGTCCCCTCCCTAAATCACACACAATCCCCTACAATATCCTCATACCACAACAGCTGCCCCCCTCCCTAAATCACACACAATCCCCTACAATATCCTCATACCACAACAGCTGCCCCCCTCCCTAAATCACACACAATCCCCTACAATATCCTCATACCACAACAGCTGTCCCCTCCCTAAATCACACACAATCCCCTACAATATCCTCATACCACAACAGCTGTCCCCCCTCCCTAAATCACACACAATCCCCTACAATATCCTCATACCACAACAGCTGCCCCCCTCCCTAAATCACACACAATCCCCTACAATATCCTCATACCACAACAGCTGCCCCCCCTCCCTAAATCACACACAATCCCCTACAATATCCTCATACCACAACAGCTGTCCCCTCCCTAAATCACACACAATCCCCTACAATATCCTCATACCACAACAGCTGTCCCCTCCCTAAATCACACACAATCCCCTACAATATCCTCATACCACAACAGCTGTCCCCTCCCTAAATCACACACAATCCCCTACAATATCCTCATACCACAACAGCTGCCCCCCTCCCTAAATCACACACAATCCCCTACAATATCCTCATACCACAACAGCTGTCCCCCCTCCCTCCCTAAATCACACACAATCCCCTACAATATCCTCATACCACAACAGCTGCCCCCCTCCCTAAATCACACACAATCCCCTACAATATCCTCATACCACAACAGCTGTCCCCTCCCTCCCTAAATCACACACAATCCCCTACAATATCCTCATACCACAACAGCTGCCCCCTCCCTAAATCACACACAATCCCCTACAATATCCTCATACCACAACAGCTGTCCCCCTCCCTAAATCACACACAATCCCCTACAATATCCTCATACCACAACAGCTGCCCCCCCTCCCTAAATCACACACAATCCCCTACAATATCCTCATACCACAACAGCTGCCCCCCTCCCTAAATCACACACAATCCCCTACAATATCCTCATACCACAACAGCTGCCCCCCTCCCTAAATCACACACAATCCCCTACAATATCCTCAAACCACAACACAATCACACACAATCCCCTACAATATCCTCATACCACAACAGCTGCCCCCCTCCCTAAATCACACACAATCCCCTACAATATCCTCATACCACAACAGCTGCCCCCCTCCCTAAATCACACACAATCCCCCCCCTCCCTAAATCACACACAATCCCCTACAATATCCTCATACCACAACAGCTGTCCCCCCCCCCTCCCTAAATCACACACAATCCCCTACAATATCCTCATACCACAACAGCTGGCCCCCTCCCTAAATCACACACAATCCCCTACAATATCCTCATACCACAACAGCTCATACCACAACCCCCCTCCCTAAATCACACAATCACACACAATCCCCTAAATCACACACAACAATATCCTCATACCACAACAGCTGCCCCCCTCCCTATATCACACACAATCCCCTACCATATCCTGATACCACAACAGCTGTCCCCTCCCTACAATATCCTCATACCACAACAGCTGTCCCCTCCCTAAATCACACACAATCCCCTACAATATCCTCATACCACAACAGCTGTCCCCCTCCCTAAATCACACACAATCCCCTACAATATCCTCATACCACAACAGATGTCCACTCCCTAAATCACACACAATCCCCTACAATATCCTCATACCACAACAGCTGTCCCCCTCCTAAATACAATCACACACAATCCCCTACAATATCCTCATACCACAACAGCTGTCCCCTCCCTAAATCACACACAATACAATATCCCTACCACAATCACACACAATCCCCTACAATATCCTCATACCACAACAGCTGCCCCCTCCCTAAATCACACACAATCCCCTACAATATCCTCATACCACAACAGCTGTCCCCCCCTCCCTAAATCACACACAATCCCCTACAATATCCTCATACCACAACAGCTGTCCCCTTCCTAAATACACATCACACACAATCCCCTACAATATCCTCATACCACAACAGCTGTCCCCTTCCTAAATACACATCACACACAATCCCCTACAATATCCTCATACCACAACAGCTGTCCCCTCCCTCCCTAAATCACACACAATCCCCTACAATATCCTCATACCACAACAGCTGTCCCCCTCCCTAAATCACACACAATCCCCTACAATATCCTCATACCACAACAGCTGTCCCCTCCCTAAATACACATCACACACAATCCCCTACGATAACCTCATACCACAACAGCTTTCCCCTCCCTAAATACACATCACACACAATCCCCTACACATCACACACAATCCCCTACCATAGCCTTATACCACAACAGCTGTCCCCCTCCCTAAATACATATCACACACAATCCCCTACAACAGCCTTATACCATAACAGTTCTCCCCCTCTTTCAATACACACACATAATTGTGACCCCATATCACAACAGTTTTCGAATCTCCCCACTACACTACATACCGTCCTACCCTACCTTCATCCTAATTTACCATCATTCAAAATATCATAACATTGCTGCAGTAATGATTTCCATTACTACACACTCTCCCCTAACCCCATCTCCACGACAACCATTCTATATATGATATGCAGTATACATGTATGATCCTTATACCCCACGTCCAGTCGTATGATCATCATGAAGATTAATATTATCAGGTGTGCATAATCATACATGAGCTGCCACAATCATGTTTACCAGTACACAGTATAATAGTATGTTTACATTGTTCAGACATCCATTATTAGAAATAATCAAGAAACATCTAGGTTACATAATATATGATATTATTAACAGTTGAATTTTAAAAATCTGACATGCTTACATTTTTCTATTGATTCCTTATAAGTGTGTAATATAACTCACATCTAAGGTGTACATGTAGCCAGAATATGGTTTTCAAGGCAGACAGAAATTTACACCAAACAGCAGTACTTCCTGCTTTCCCCTCAAACGGATTAACCTAAACAATTTCTCCTTATCTCCAGTAGAGTGTTTCCTGTGGACTTTTTATTTCATACCTTATCTTAAAGTAATGTTTAAAATACTAAAATGAAACCAGACAAAGTCAGGATCATATCGCGACATGTGTACATTGAGACCATGCACGCGCACACCTGAATTACACCACAATACTCACATCAGTTACATCCATGTCATACGCATCTGCTATTTTCTGATACAATTCCTTTACATTCGTAAAACCGGATATGATTCCCGTGGGACTGCCATGAGCTTGCTGACAATGGAACACTAATTTGGGCCTTGGAGGATCCACCGGCTGACTCCGGGGTACCTGAGTGCCATTGGATTCAGGCGGAGTATGTTGAGGATTGCTTGGGCGTTGTTCGTTTGGTTCTGGGGGCGATCTTGTCGATTGCTGGTTATCAACTAGTGTTTTATCCTTCTTCTTACCAAAAAGAGGCATTTTGAAGTCTAATGTCACTTTTTTCACAGACCGAAAGTCTCCTCAAGTCGTCGGAAAACCATAAAAATATCACAGGTAACCCTTGGAACAGGATACACCTTGAAGGTATGACAAATATAGGTGAAACGGAAATACATGGCTATGTTATAACCGAGTTTTAAGAAATCGGTTCCCACTTCCGTTAAGGTTTTTACCTTAAAAGTTTGTATTAATTTCGCTTATGGTAGAAAAGAAATATAGGAGTTGGTTTTATAAACATATTGGTATCTTAATAATTTAGTATTTACGTATATGTATGTCATATCTTTGCATTAAAAGTGTTTGGAACAGCGTTAGGAACTGACATATTTATCCCTTTAGTGTTACTTTACCTGTGTTTTTATTGGATAAAACCAGGGGCACATGACGGGGATTTTACCTGGCCAGGTAGCCGTTCATTTTAGACATGTCACAACAAACAGTTAGACAATCAGCCGATAATATTAACTAATGCTCACAATGAGTAAGACCTTCATGTACTCGTTGTGGTAATTGCATCTCTATAATATTAAAGATGATCGGTTATTCGTTATCATTTGTACCATGTTATCATGATATAGTGTTTAATCAGGGACGTATCTGTCATATACGTCCCTGGTTTAATTAATAAATCATATGTGTTAATGTTGTAATCAATGAAAACAGAGGATTTCAACAAGTGAACTTTTATGTGTGTTTCCTTGACAATCATATTTGAGAGCGCGAATGTGTGTACACGATCATACAACTTAAAACTGACAAAAACGTAATTGTATGGAAACGCAATTCCCTTCAGGTCCAAATACAGGCTGTCGTGCACGTTGGATGGTATTATCGTCGACATTCTGTTGTAGTTATTTTAATCCTATGGAATTTTCATATTTCGGGGCGTACTTCAAAAATGTTCAATATTTAATTAAATGCTTCTTGCATCTTATTTATACTGTAACCCTTGAAAGATAATTGCTTCAAAAACTAAAAGTGATTTTCAATTGAGAGGACGTACGTTTCAAACTCATTAAATTCATATTTAATTAAAATACCTGCTGCTATAAACTGTATATAATTATATCAATACCTCTAGTACAAAGAAGGATTTCCACCGGTTCTATTTTAGTAAAATACAATTTATACAGAAGCGACAATGTAGCCTGTGTTTCAAAGGCGAAGGTTTATTGTAATAACTACAAATTCAACATGACTGACATATCAAATGTGTTTGATATGTGCTATTTTGTATAATTATATATATATATGAAACAATTTAGCATCTGTAATAATGTTGTCTACAGTGTTCTCTTTGTGAACGTGACATTACTTACATGGTCTTATTCTAATTGTTCTTATTTTCAGGAGACTTCTTTTACAGATTTCTTTTTATTTTGCCCGGTTTTATCGATTTTGTGTTTGAATTTGGATTGATTCTTTTGACAAGGGTACAGTCTTCACTTACTTTTGTTTTTATAGTGGTATGTAAAAGCTAAACTTAAGATTTTTGTTTACCGTGTTTAATCACGTATCGACTCTAACTTATTCCCCCTTATCTTACATTTGTACATTTAGTCGGCTTAATCCACTTTATTGATATCACTTAAACGATTAGGTGATATTTCCAATTCGTTATGGCGGTATCACCTCATTCATTTCAGTTATATATAACCATATCAATTTGGCGATATATCGAAATAATTTCGTGCATTGTAATTGTTATCCGTAAACTGTCAAGGATTCAAGGCTTCCAGGATGATGGATTCTGGACAGTTGCATTTCAGAGTAATCATTTATCACAGGGGACTATATGGTCTTTGGCCTTTAAAATAAAGTGTAAAGGGAGGTACGTGTGTGGCACAAAGTATGGTTACTACTGAATTTGACTTCCAAAAAAAGATGCAGAACATTTTAAAGTAAAAGAACACATCGTATAGAATTATTATACGCCCCTCTCCATAATATTTCGGAATAAAATACCTCCTACATACTATTCTAATGACTTTCATAAATGTATCTCCTTCCTAATATTTCAGATAATTGTTCTCTAGATACTATTCTGATAACCGTCATGGATGTATCCCCCTCCTAGTATAGGGGGAATACATTTCTGATGGACAAAAATTATTCCCGGATACTTTAGGATGGTGAATACAAATATGATATGACACCGGGTGTCCATGCTATGTATTATTTTAATATTGTGATATCTCATCTGTGATGTATGATCGGGCGTCCCTGATACTATTGTGTTGTTTTGATATTGTTAGATGTCATGTGGGACGTATGATAGGGCGTCTATGATATCATTGTGTTATTTTGATTTAATATTGTTAAATATATCAATATCAGTTAAATTTTGAACCTCACCTGATTTAACTTTATAGAAATGATCGAACCTCTTTATGTAAATTTAGAACCCCAAATCAAAAACTTTCCTTAGGGACATGAAGACGGAATAAAGTTCTATATAATTAGTATTACACAAATTTACCATTGGATCGTGTATCTTCCATGATTAATGCTGTACATCTTCTGTTTTTACGACCTGTAGTTACACACGTTTATATGTTGCACGAGGTTGCTTAGCCAACACTCATGATTCGCCTATTTGAAGTATACATTACATTATAAAATCACTAGTACAAACAAATTATTATTAACTAGAGATCGACGGATTGTAGCAGATTAAAACATCACTCTGGGTTATAAATGACATATTTTAATCTTAAACGGAAGAAAGTCGCATGCCAAATATCATAGTTTCAAAGATCGAGCTTAAGTGATCTGAACCGCTGGTGTTTTAAAGTATCTACATCAAACTTGTATATTTATACACAACAGTATACTATATACCTTCTTCTGTGACACGTATATCATGAATGCCACAAGGCACGATTCGTGTTCAGAGACTTGAAAATCACGTGCACGGCGTGTTGTGACGTTAGCTTAGACACCCTGTATGCTAATCCCACAACATATTATACATATCCATACACAAAACTGTTCAAATAGAATAGATGAACCACCAAAATACGTAACTTGAACAAGTGACATACTTGTATACATACATTATATTTATCAATTCTAAGTTTCGTTTAGCCATAGAAGCAAATTTGGTGGTTTAAACCAGAATTTTTGACGCACTTTATTTGGTAATTATTTTACAACAGTGTGAATGCGCGACACTGGTAAGCGTATGAAATTTAGTCACATGATCACATTGACGAATGAAAATCGTCATAGATAATGATAACAGGTAATAGAAAATCGTTTTCGCGGGAGAGTGTGCACTGTCATTCAGAAGATAAAGTTCGACTTTGCCAGAGGTGTAAGTAAATGCTCTACTGTTTTATATCCGATGCTAAGTAAAACTATAGGTATTTAGTCTCGTGTACATGTACCGACTGTTTATTGTTGTTAATGCTGATATGTTACCTTTTTATTGAAAATATAAGTTGAACTAAAGTTAATTATACTTGGGAGAACCTGGTTACAGGCAGATTGATACAATCAGATAAAAGTCGGATACTCAAGATAAAAATCGTAGGATTTATAACTCAATTCCATAAAAAAGTAAATAGAAAGTTGAAAAATCGATTTCATTAATTCTTTTAAAAAAAAAAAAAAAACATTTTTATTTCCAGCCCCATCTCCCCCTCTCTATGTATATATCCAAATATTTTAGCATGATTTTATGAAATTGTGAAACTCCTATTGGGCAAAGGCTTCATGTTAATTTGAAAACTTGTCTGATCCTATTTTGTACATTGATCCTAATGAAATATGTTTATATCAAATGTGAACACACACACCACTACACAACACACCTATTAATAAAATAGACTCTACCCTAAACCACGCAACTGACTTTGACATTGCCTAAGTTAGTGAAATGTACTCTATTAATCCCTGAAATTCTCCTGCAATACATGTATGCTACCATAGGTTTTCGGATCCACGGGGCGATATATGCGGCACATAGCACGTGCAAAATGCGCGCCAAAATGTACTCGGAACACTCCCGTATTTTACTTTCGGAATGAAATTTCCTCAATGTCTGAGTGCGAAGAAGGTACCAGCCTCATCTGTCAGTACACTTTTAACAAGGTTTGTATCATTAAATCAAATGACATTAAGTACAAGATTAAGAAGAGGCAAAACAAAACTAAACGTCAGTATATTATGTTGGAACATGCGACAGCAGACTGAGTTATGTAACAATGTGGAAATTACCGATCATGTTTTCTTCCGTTCCAAACATTTAACAGCAAGGATAGGGGAAAAACTTAACACAAATACTTTATTGCACCATCGATGGTACATATTGAATCTTGGTGACTCGGAGGCCCATGCCTAAGGCGCTGTAATGGACGCAGTAGAGGTCCTATTCTGATTATGAAAACCCTGCTCAAAGCTCCTCATATTAAGAAGTACCCTTACAACTGATTATAAAATTGATGTATTTTTTAACTTCTTAATCATAATGTAAATACCTTCACAATATCTATATATAATATTCAAATATTTAGGCAATTAGTTAAGCATCGTGAAGATTTAAAAAAAAAAATGAAAAAAACCTAATCCTTACATCTACTGTTGTTCCAGTTTATTAGCAAGTGCCCATGTATATAGATCATTATTGTAGCTCTAAAAAAAACATTAAAATATTTTTGCAGTTGACAGTAATCACCATGCATTTTCTTCTTTTTACAAAAAAAATCACAGTACCCTTACAAAAAGTTTAGATCAAGTATAGTACACTTACATTTAAATTTTTTCCTTTGTTTCTCAGTTTGTTAAATTCTTTTTGTTAAATTGTTAAAAACAACATTGAATTGTGCAAGATTATTGTATGCATTTATTTCTTTGTGAATTGTAAAAATGTTGGAAAATATGGCAATAAAAAGTAAAAAATCTTATACATTTATTTTTCATAATGCCTTAATGTTCATCCAGACTTTCTTGGTCCGGTTCCATTTTAATTACTCTCG